GCACCCGCACAGTACTAAGCATAACTATGTAGTATAGGACATTACTATGCGGGTTTCGACACTTAGCTAAGCTACTCTAATAAGGGGATTAAAAAAATTAAAAGGTAAGATAGGATTAAGGTAATTATTCTTAGCAAAGGGAACAGGGTTATTAGTCCTAGCTAGGCTAGATAAGTTAAAGGCAGCTATATCAAATATAGTCTAAGGGGCTGCTCTTACGTTCTCACATATTAGTGATTAGTTACTAGTTAGTATCATTATTATTAATACGTAGCCTAGCTCTAATAAAGTGTTATATAAGTCAAAAGAGGAAAGGCGACAGGACCTTAAAGAGTATCGCGATTATTAAGGTAAGGAAAAGGTTAGTGGCCCTTTTGAACAGGATAGCTGTCTGACAGCTCTAGAGTATGTCAACCCTATGTTTATACTCTGCCTTGATTACAGAGTCGTTATATATATGTGTACAGGGCGCCTTATTCTTTTACTCACTAGGTATAAGGATCCTGCTTATTTGAATTCTCAGAGGTCCGAATCTCCTTGTCTTCTTTAACCTCGTCAGGGGCACAGAGGGTGTCAGAGAGGCTTGCTTTAAACTCGAGTCTGACCTCGAATGTCAACACTGACCCAGAATGAGCTGGCGACGGGTCCAGAGATACAGATCTCTTACAGTCGATAGTTTAACGACCGTTTCTAGTCAAAGGGCAGTCTTAGGATAATGTTACGTGTCACGTTGGAAGCAGGCGACGAGTGCGCGAGATCTTCAGCCCATGTTGAGTGCTATCCTAAGACTGAAGAGTCGACGGTGAGGGCCCTGGGGTCGCTTCTATATAGCAAGCATGCCCCTTACTAACGTCTAGTGCTAATCAATACCCGGCGCCCCTAGCGCTAGCGGGCGACAAGCATGGCAGCCGTGACAGAGAATGGACTGTTACGCGTTTTGGAGGGTATTTTCTGGGGTCTTTTTCTATGATAAGTAAGCAGTCTTTTCTAGTCTCTCTTGGCCCTAGGTCTTTACTTTGCTACAAGTATGTTGCCTATTCTCCTTAGCCCAAGTAAAATCAGAAAGAAAGAGTTTTGGTAATATGAGTAAGTTAGAAGATATCTGATATATAAGAGATCTATTCAAAGACAAGAAATCTAGATACTGTTCCAGATCGATATCAACACCAACCTTGTACTTGTAGTCTACTACTAGTCTACGTGCCAGTGCGCTGCCGTTTACGGTTTAGCCCCGCCCGATCGGGGTTGGTGCCGCCTCGCCGCTTTTCCCACATATGCCCGCTGCTCCTCCATCCTCCTTTCTTTTCTGTCATCTACTCTCCCTCACCTGTTCCCTCCTCTCTCTCGCGGAGGGCCCTTCCCCCCCTGCCTGCTGCGCTGCTGTCTCAGTCGCGGACGACCTATTCTACCCAATCATGGCACCAACCCCCCACCCGGCCTCAAACCCAACCAAGCTGCCGGTGGTCTGGTGCTCCGATGCGACTCTGCCTCTAACGTTCGATCTAATAGTCGGCGTCGTCGTAAGGGTGACTTTTATCCCGCTGGACCTGGGCGGCTAATTGTTTATACGATATCGCGCCGATCGACCTTAAACTCTTCGTTTCTCACCTGGTCGTCAGATCGACATATTGATTACTTGCCTGGGGCACCGACAACGAGTTGCTTGGACTGTCGCGACGCTGCCTTGATGATCGTAGCGTGTCGGCACCCGGAAACGTCTCCTGGGTTAACATGAACCTGAGACGTGATTAATGATCAAATTACCGTATAATCAGTTACGTCACTCGATCGCAGCGCAGAAGCGTTTAAAAACAGGCTTGAGACATATTTAGCTCTTTACAAGAGGCTGGTTAACCTACCACGCCACTCGAGAAATGTGACTTATGTTCCACCAGGAGTCCCTATAAACATCAGAATCGGTTTCGGCGGAGTATTTCAACAGCGACCGTACGAGATTCTTCCCCCCCGGAAGGTGAAAAAGAGCCAATGAGAAAAATACCCTCGACGGTCTTATTCCGCGATCGACTCTCGCTAGTTGGCTTCTGCAGTCAAAGTTCAGGCCTCGAGCGGTCGGGACTCGGCTCCTTAGAGGTGAATATAAGGGCCAATGGAGGACATTTCTCACAAGGACTGAGTTGAGACCTGCCTCGGCTGCTCCTGCATCATAATTCGCGTTGCAGTCTCAAATCTGAACGGCTCGTTGATCACCAGTTTAGGCCGGGTCAGCCTCCGTCACCACTCAATTCTTATCATCCGATCATCTCCAATCTTATTCTCTTCCGACCTGTCATGTGCGATCTTGGGCCATAAGAGATTTGCATAAAGTGTAGCGAACTCCTTAGCGCTTTCAACAAAGGTTTTACCGGTTAAATATATCTCCTACTTGCTGAGCCTTAATCGCACCAGCTTTTACGCGACTCGGCCGGCCTCTAAATATCTTTTAGGGTTCATGAATAGAAAGAGTCCACCAAGCTCTTAATGCACAGACAGGTAATTGGTTGAAGCCTAACAAAAGAGACCAGACGCTGTGGGTATCGTACGAAAGATCGATCTAGAGGCGAGGGATGGTTACTGAAGCGTCCCTAACGAACAGTAAAGTAACGAGTCGCGAAAAGCAACATAGATAAGGGAATATAAACAACAAGAGATGCTACGATATAATCTTCGGAGCCAAGCGTAAAGCGCAACCGGGTCACAATGCGATAAGCCTTGTCGTAATACATAACCGAAGGATTTAATTGATGCTCACGACTGCTCAGACTTAGAACAGCCATGCACAGCCACAGCTCAGGCCTGCTCATTCATCATTCAGGTTACAGTCACGTGAGCTCAGGTCTCGAATTGGAAATATATCTTGAAGAAGTCAAGATTCAGGTGTAAGTATAATGATATAAGGTTCGACGAATCCTTATCTGGACCAATTTTCTTGTATCTGTCCTAACAATCTTTCAGTATCTGCCAGTCCTGCACACGTTCTTCGACTTTGCGTATTTGGCAAGAAAGGTATCCAGCCAAGTCGGCTCGTCCCAGCCGCTTCTACCATCCGATGGCGGAATGATATTCCCGTTTTTATCCCGGAACCCGGTGGTTTCAATCTCAGAAGTGTCGCAATCTAGATCGTAGGCCGACATCATCCCCCCTGAGACAATTTTCTGGGACCAATGACGACAAGAGTCATATACTAGTTATATCCCCTCCGTGCCCGATGCCTCAATTAGCGCGTTTGGTGAAATTTAAGCTCAAATAAGGTCGCTCACAGGACATCGTCTAACCAGCATTCAATGAATATATTATCAGACAAATCATTTGACAAGTGAGTTAAAGCTTTGCTCTTGAAGACACTTATTCCCGAATATCTATCAAAGGCGTTCGAGCAAGCAAAAGTTGTAGCAACATCGAAATAAGGAGATCGACGACGCTAATTGAGGCATTCTACACCCCTGTTCGGGCACGGAGGGGATAAGCCTCTAACATAGGCGCTCCAGGAAAGGCCGTGACTAGATAAACTGTGAAGAGGTCGATCAGCATAAATCATAGTAGAGATGAAATGAGTCGATCAGATATCAGAAGGCATGAGGGATATAAGCCTACAGCGATTGCTGGAGTATTCTGATACCGGCCCGGCGTCTCCATACACAGATGATGTGATATTCGCTGTGCTGTGCACCCAACAAGAGTCCCCACGGTGTTGTGGAAGGGTTTCGGCCCATAGATCTTGCTTGACTGCATGTGGATGTTGCCTATTTTGGAAGCATGGCACATTTGCATGGGCAATGGGATTGCGCAGAAGGGCACATAGCCCCGTCATTGAACACTTTCCAAGGCTGCTAGTTGTTCCATAAGTTCTGGCTCAACCTGCGACGGGCTCCAGGAAGCCAAACGTGTTTCAGTCCTCAGCCTGATGTAGATAAATAGGGATGGCAAGCTACAGTGGGGCAAAACAAAAGATACCAAACTGCTCTCAGCCGTGCTGTTATATCTGAAGCTCTAGAAGAGCATCGTTTGGTGACGTCTCAATCGATGCTAAGAAGCCGCATGGAATAGTTTTATTGGACGAGATTATATTCGGCTCTCCCCGGTAGAAGCACAAGACATTGTTCAGTCTGAGATCAGTGTGCTGGCAGTATTCACCGAACATGATCAAAGTAGACACGTTGTAACATTCAGAACACTTCAATGCACAACACTCATCAGTGACCATCATCTCAGCTCTTCAATTGACTTGTGATGAGATCAGTCCTTGTCAGACGCTGTGAGCACCTATTGGCCAGATTTGCTGCGTTTCTACTGCGTATTTAATCCGTGCGTTACTGTATTTATGACTAATTTCGCTATACTTACGGAGTACCACATAGCCAATATGCACGTGTATCTACACACGCTGCCCCTTAATTAGATAGAACAACTTACTTTCTACGCACATCCTGCAGATTGTCAAACAGTCCTGCCTTGCTATTGACTAACTTGAACGCAAATTGCCAATCGACTTGCTCTACATTGGCACTGTATCTGACCCTGACCTCTTCTACGCAACCGTGCAGAGGTAGTTGGACATCAGCAGCTTCGCTTGGTCACATAGGGATGGATTCTTTGTGTTCTCGGCTCTCTATGCGTAGAACAGAACAAGAACGGAGACGGGAATAGAGCAAGTAGAACGACTCAAGAATAGAGTCATCAATACGACACCACGTTCTTCATAACTACTTCCCAATGAGAAAGTAAGAGTAACATCAATAACAATGTGAATTTCTGTATAAGAAGTTCAAATCATTTAACAAGTCATGGAAAAAAATTCCTAGTAATTTGTAGACATAATACCCGCCAAGATTCAGACGCCGAACGTATTTAGGCTGTGCGAATGTACCTGCCTGGAGAGATTCCGCTGGATAGCAGCTGCGTGACACCTTATTAGGTTTAAGGCCACCATGGTTCCCTGACATGCTGTTCGAGAAAGAGAAACACATGCTCCATTATCATTAACGTGCAGCCCTAGCTGGCTTTCAAGATTTCGGAGCTTCGACAGGTTGATGATCATGACAAGATTCGTTGTCCAGACGTGACTTGATAAAACCAGAGTTTCTCAGGGCATCTGCTTGTATTTTCCAGATTGGCCGCCCCAACTCGACAAGGCGGGTTCCATACTCTTCCAATATTTCAGTTGCCTCGCTTCCATCTCCGGAACCAATTTGGGAAGGAATGGAGCTGGTCTCTCCATCAGCTCCAAACGTCCAGTCGTACCACAATGTCTTCCATTCTTCAAGTGCCTTTACTGCTTCTGGAGTCTGCGGCTGGACAGATTGCGCTACCAAATAGAAGGTCGACTTGATCGCATGGGCTTTGTAGGGTTTAAACAACTTGATGTCGGCAAATTTACTAAAGGTGTGGAGAATGCGGACCGTATCCCAGGCTTCGATCTTGTGGAGTAGTAGGACAAGGGTGCCTCCAGGCTTGATACGCTGGAACGCAAAGATCAGCTGCGACACATTCAAGCGTATATGTTCTCCAACTCTCCGGTATTCTGCTCGGGGCTGAGCACGAAGTACGGCGCCACCGCAGAAGACTAAGTCATAGCGGCAGTCTTGGTATGGACGATCATGACTGAAGAGAGCAGGATCTGGATGATTAACGGGAATCTCTGTGACACCGAAATCGGTAGCGTAGAGAGTAATGTCAGCGTAGACAATGCTGAGGTGTGGGTGCTTTGCAATAACGTGATAGCCTCCGTCCTCCAGAGGCAGCGTGATAGCATGCACGTGAGCGTCTGGGAATCTCTTCAGAACGGACTTGGTGAAACCTCCTGGAGCCATGCAAAGATCAAGAACCAGGGGAGACTGGTTATCGAAACGAAAAACGTTTGTTCTACGAGCCATCTCATCACCGATCCTCACCGTCATTAGAAAGAATCTTTGTCGTCCTTGGGGCCCAGCACTGTCCGCCTTTCGCTTCCTTTCATCGAAGACCTTGTCCCCTTCAGCGCTGGTCCACCCCTTGAAACTATATTAACCAGTATTCAACTAGATTGTCAAGACTTTTGAGGCATTACCTGCTTCTTTAGCTCACAAAGTTCTTGAAAGATGGGTTCGCGCTTCGACAGGTACTCTCTAATGATTTGTTGTTCACGTGGGTCGTCTACCATTTCGGTGTTGCGCTGTAGCACCGACAAACTCTCAGTATCTTCGGGCATGTTGATTCAGCGAAGCAAGGATCTGACCACAAAGGGCATTGAACTGGATTTGTGAAAAGTTTTCTCCAGGTCTTATAGAACCTCATCACCCCCACATTGAGTTGGTAAGGCTGTAGTCCACTGATGACTCAGCATTTACATCTAGAGGGCATGAACTGCATCAGACAAGCTGAGTGGGTTGGGCGCCGCATACTATGCTCGTACCTGGGTGAAGTATTCGCGGCACGGCGCTAGTATTTTTACAGCAAAACAGGCTCCAAAAGATACAGCTAAGCTTTGAACAATTAAGCGGTATTGCTGTGGCCAATCGATACGAGCAATTGTGTTAAGAAACTTCAAGACATTGAGGTGGCGCCGTATCTGAGCTAGTTGCTACTAACGCCGTGCTATCTACGAATACTTCTGCCTCCTACCGTAGTAGGTTACGAAGTATAGCACCCTTCAACCAATTGCTCGAGCTTGGCGGTGCTTTCACATTAGAGAGATGATAGTGACAATAAGTCACTTGCAGAGGTGAGGACAAAGGCCCAAAGACCAACGACAGTAACTTACGCTGATAAACGACGGGGAAGTGGAAGATGATCCTCAATTGAAGTTAAAAAATGGAACAAGGGTGGTGTGAGACGCAGTACGCAAGGAAAGAGGAAAACAGGAGGGGGCAAGCGGGCCCAAATTTGTAGTGGAAGAGGCCTATGTAATAATACTGCACAGCCAGCCATCTTTTGAAAGACCCAGCATGCGTACTGCGTACTACGGTAGGAGGCATAATGTTCCGCACCTGCGCACTAGTAAGTAACGTCATTAACAGTGCTTATACAGATACCCTATTCCTCTGTACGAATGCTCACTATCGCCATTCTACGCGCATTTTGTTGATTTTACGCGTTATTCTACTGATTCTATCTCATTCTGCGCCATCTACGAATTCTGCGCCATCTAAAGATGCAGAAGGACGGCATACTCAATATTAAGAAAAAAACTAGACTAGTCCTAACTGAGCGATTTTGTGGCGTTCTATCTTGGCGTTACAAGTAGGCACTAGTGCGCAGGTGCGAAACATTATGCCTCCTACCGTAGTAAGTCATAAGAAGCCAGTAGGTATTTTTGCTGATGGGGGGTCAAGGGGAGGGGCCTGAGTGGGGCAGATTTTGTGGCTTGTGGGATGAGCTGAAACGACACACCGTCTGGCGGGTGGTCTACGGGGGGATGCAAGAGCCGTCAAAAGCCGTCAAAAACGGTATTAAAAGGTTCCCAAAACGAGCCCATTGTCCCAGAAATGATGCGTTGTGGGGTAGAAGTGGACGAGAAACGACTACCTCCTCTGCTTTGGATGTTCGACTCCTTCAGACTTCGATGCTTGTGCCCAATGTCATAATTGACTAATACTAGGTAGCTAGAGGAATCGACCGTGGCTGAGATAATGTGTCATGCGAGCCTGTTCTGATGTGATAATGCCGCTGTGGAAGCATAAAGTTGGGCTGTGCTCTTCTCCAATCGCCGCCTCTTCTGACCGAGGGCATGATCAATGAGTGGATGACACCGCCCAATTGAGAGCACGCATTGGTGCTGTCGGCGCTTCTGTAGCATCCACCAGCCTTTAACTCGTGAACGGTGTGCCGCAGCTTGACCTTTCTTGGTGACTCGTCCACCAAGTCCTGCAGCTACCGGTATTGTGGAGGGAGGCCAGCCTTGCGGCAAAGCTCCACATGCATGTATATTTCATTGGTCGCCTGATTTTGAGCCCACTACAGTGGTAAGTTATGTGATAGAAGATTGAATGTTAACTTCAGGCTGCCGTTGTAGTACTGAATTTATTCCCACCGTTGCATTGATCGAGCACCAAATTTCCAATTGTCAACGCAATGGCAGACACATCAGCTGCAGCAGCAGTGCTCAACCTGCTCGCAGAACGTGTTTCCCTAATAGAGACGAGTTCCTTTGAGTCCCACAGCTCTATCATGCCATCTCCCTCATCTGCTGCAACGTCCTTCGAGCTGTTCTCGAGAAGCCCCCAAGACCAAGCTGCTCCGTCTTCAGTGCAGGCTCCCAAAGATATTCAAAATCAAGCTGGTTCAGCTCAGCAGTCTCAAACCGCTTCCACGCCTCCTCTGTCCTTCCCCTCCCTCCCCTCGGATATTCACCACCTCGTCCTGACCGAGTACCTTCCCTACAATTCTATTGTCGCCCTTCGGTCCGCCTCTTCCCACTTCAGATCCCTCATCCCTCCCTCTACACTAAAACGTCTCCGCGAAAAAGTCATTGCCAGTCTCCTCGCCGATGAACGGGCCATCCTGAACAAATGGCTTCCCCAACCTTATGGCCGCTATAACGGCCGACCCTCACCCTACATGACCTGTTACTCCTGCCTACAATCTCTCCCAACCACAGAGTTCTTCGCATCACAGGTCATCGGATCGAGAGGCATCGGTCGAAAACGCGCCGTGGACCGCTGGTGCAAGCCCTGCGGACTCAAATATGGCAAAATCCGGCACGGAAAGTGGATGGAAGAAGTCAACTACGGGTATGCGGATCAGCTCCGATATGAGACTGTTATGGGCGGGCAGCAGCTGAAGCTCGAGAACCCATGTGTCACATGCTCATTTAGAGATCGATATGATAGCCAGCCGGTCTGGTGGGGCTGCGTGGATTGCTTCAAGAAGGAAGAGAAGAGGTTACAGAAGCAAGACTCTGAGCGTCGGAGGGATGTACGACGGCATTGCAGCCGAGTCAAGCATGGCGTCAAGGCGTTCGTGGAGCCGGAGTATCTGCGTGAGTTGGGTCAGGAAGTTGGGTGGTGGATGAGCGCAAACATGGGCTGGCATGCTCTGGTGCGGAAGGGACACACCGTTTATTGGTGGGTCAAGGATGAGAGCTTTCTGACAAGGGCGTCTAGGACTTGTGGCCGGGTTGGGAGAGTGTTGGATCCGAGAAAGATACAAGAGCCTGGCCAGAAGCTAGGTAGGAGAGCGAAGAGAGCTGTTGGTGCTATGTTTGACATGGGCAAGAAGAACAAAGAGAAAGAAGGCAGCACTACAGAGGGTGAAACATCATCGGCACAAACTGAAGATTGCGTTATCTGCTGCGCTGCAGGCCTAGATAGCGCAACACTGGAAGCTGACACCAATCTCACAAAATCAACGGTAAAAGCGCCGTCATCGCACCATTCCCATCATCATCATCATCATCACCACCACCACCACCACATCGCTCCTCCGCATCGAGAAGTCCGCTGCTGGCGCTGCTGGCGAGCCAAGCGCTCCCGTCGTCAACGTCGCCACGATGATGGACTCGCGTACGCTCTTCCGCTCCCAAAGGAAAGATGGTGTGACGGATGCCAAGCCGAGCATGAACACTTTGTTGCACTGGGAAGGGAGAAAAGAAAAGGTGTGGGAGGTGATGAGCGGAGGAAGACTGTGCCGACATTGAGGGAGGAGAAGGACACCGCTGAGAGCATGGATGAACCTGAAGTGAATGAAGAAGAGGTAGATGCTGAGCTGGGGCTCGGTGGGTTGTTTGGCGAGACTTGAGCCTGGAGATGTAAATGAAAGCCCCGGTGGCTTGACTAGATGCCCAAGGGATGAGGAGAGGAGCTTGATCGCGGGATGACTGACAAGATCTTCTGATACCCCAACGCTGCTGCTGCTTGCAGTGCTACAACGTAGCAAGACTTTTTTTTCCCCATTTCACACAGCTCGAGACGCGTCTTCCTCCCTCCAACCCCTTCCCAAGCTCTCTCTTCATAAGAGCCCTCTCGACCACAACCTCTAATGCTCTATTGTCTTCCTTAGACATTTCAGTGCCCCTACCCCTTCTTCCGGCACAACTACAAGCCGGGTGATGGAATAACGGGCAGAATAGCTAACAATTCCGGGCAAGCTACCCAATAGCAGTGAGATGTAACCAGCATGCCTTTTCTCTTTCCTCTCCTTTCTCTTGGTTTGCTACAAAGCTGGGTTTACATTACTGATTACTAATGTCTAGTTACTTAACTCCTTTTCAGGATAATTGTCTCAGATCTCTGCTGTGAATCAGCCCGCAGGAAAGGAGGTTGAAGCCCCTTCCATTAGAGCGTCAGCGTCCTCCTCATCCGTGTCCTGTCTTCCATCATCGATATCGTCTGTGAAAGACTGGACCTCAGCTAGCTCCTCTTCGTCTCCGTCCTTATCCTCCTCTTCCTCCTCCTGTGCTTCATCCTCATCTTCATCTTCTAGCTCCAGCTCCAGCTCTCCCACTTCATCATCGATTCCATCCCCACTGACTCCTGCTCCATCTCTCTCAGGTCCTGCATTTTCGTTAGTGTCTCCGCTCCCTGCCGTAGTCTCCATCTCGGTCCGATCATGAGAAGATGCCCCAATCCCGGGTACACCTACTCTCGACCCCTCTCCATCCTCTGCAGCGCCACGATCTTCACTCTCACTGATAAAGCTCCCCCTCGTCATGGCCTTACTTTTACTCAGCCTACCTGCACCGACCGGCAATTTCCCCTGCGGCGCGCGACACAACGCGCGATACTGCGCCGCCCACTCCAACTCCAACTTACTGGCATTCCTCGGCAGAAAGCCGAGCAACGGATCCCCGTCCCTCCCCGCAGCTTTCCACAGACTCGGCGTCTCCTTGCGGTACTGATCGTCCGTCGCATCCGGCCTCTGACGCACCTCTTCCGGAACCGCTGGGACATCAAATGACTCTGGCAGAGCGAGCAACCTGTCGAACTTGCGGTCGAAGTCCGCTTCCTCTCCTTCCTCGGGCACGATCTCCTCCAGCATGAGATCGATCTTTGCTTTCAGGATGATCTTGAGCTTACACCACGTCCCGTTTTTGTACCAGCCGAAGTAGCGCTCCTCGCATGTCTCGCGGAGCTCGAGATCGGGTGTGTCGACTAATCTCTTGAGGATCGGATCCTGCAGGTCACAGAGCTGCCAGCTCTTGCCGTCAGCGGGCACACGGCCCTTGCCGGTGAAGATGTGCGATTCTTTGTCTGGATCCACACGCCATGCCTGAGAAGCCTCTTCGTATTTCCTGTTTTCAATGCTGGATTTCTTCGAGGAGACGAGTTGCAGCATCAACGTCTGGTATTTGCGGTAGCTGGGGTCGGAGCGCGGGTCCACCCCAAAGCGGATGTAGGTGTCTCTCCAGGGACCGGAACGCATGGTGTAGGCGGCATAGCCGACGGCGTACTTGGCAAGGAAGATGGGCGCGTTGGGGGGAAGTTGGTTGGCTAGGCCGCGGCGCGTCCAGATGGGACGGCGAGCGAAGACGGTGCGTAGGATAGTGACAAGGCCGCGGAAGTTGTGAGGTTCGTCTTCTAAAGGAGGAGCTGAGGGAGAGACGGTAGCAGGGATTTCGGAAGGGGGTGTGTCCCATTGGCATTGCTGGGTGTAAATTTTGTTTGGAGCTTGGGTGTTGTAGAGGCGCCGGGAGCCGGTTGTTGGGTCGATGAAGGCTTTGATGGCAGGGTTTTGGCGGTAAGCATAGTTTGAGGGGTAGGCCATGGTGGATAAGACGGATAGAGGAATGATTTCCGTGTCTTCCAAGCCGCGCGCTGGGTTGAGTTGGAAGTCTGAGAGCAGTGGGTATTGGAAGGGTAGGACCTTGTCACGGAATTGATTCAAGAATTGGCTGTGAGAGGTCGAGTAGGCAAAATCGGGCATGGTGCGGAAGATATGCATGATAGGGACAGAGGCAATGGGTTCGAACTGATAGGTATCCTTGTTCGCGCGCAAGGATTCAAGTAAATAGCTGGCAGACTTCTTAGTAGGAGGCTCGTTCAAGTCCTCCACGAAAGGATCAGTCGTCCCCCGCTTTCTCTTTCTCCCTGTTCTTTTCGGCACCGTGACTTTGAGAAGGACGTTGTTGGTCTGGCAGTTGACGGAAAGAATTGGCTGGCTGAACGGGTCTTCTGGGTGAAACTTCAGGTTAATCGGCTTTTCGACATGGTCTTTTCGGAGGAAATTCTTGATCGCTTTGTCACCTCCTAGCATATCGACGGCTTTATCGACATTTTTGACAAGACATGGATGCTCGACGCAGACTGCTTGGGTCTTGGGGATCGTGTACCATGGAGCCGACTCTGATGGTTTTGGGACAGTTTGCTGTGCAACAGGCATGACAGGTGAACGGAGTCGAGATCAGAGTCTTCAATTTTGATTCACCGGGTCGAATGCGCAGAGCCAGTGTTCTATCCTTTCTATATGGAAGTGGAAAGAAAGGGTTTGATTCGAACGGAGACAGTATCAGACGCAGGGCTGTGACGTCTAGAATTGTAAAGGAAAGCAAAAAATATGGATATTTGAAAGAAAAAGTGTACTGCACAGATGCTAAAGTTGCTTCATAGATATTCACGAAGTCGATTTCGGTGGGAGGAGGAAATAGTGGCGCAACATTCGTGTTCACAAACGCTTGAGGCAGCAATTCAAGGTATATATTTGCAACCTTTAGCAGTTGCGTAGTTTGACAGAATGCTAATGATCCAGCGCAGAAAGATGAAACACAAATATGATAAGCTCCTGTGGGCGTAGAGCGAAAGAATACGTAGTATAAGTATTTATCAATATAATAATTGAGGCAGGATCCCGCTCCCATTTCCGCTCCGCCCAGATCCCTGTCTAGTTACTACCCCTCCTACTCTCCCTACCAACTGCCGAACATCTCGACTCCCTTAAACACGATGAATGTCTTTGCCAATGAAGCCGACTTCAGACCTGAACGCACTGTCAGCTTCTAGGACTATCTGCCTTGCCGCACCTCCAACTGAGCAATCACGAACTGTTTATCTAAGTCAGTCTCGTGTGGAAGAACCTCCGCGATGTAAACAAATGCCCCTACCAATTTCCTGAGAAATCCGAGCACGTCTCTGCCGGTTTGCAGTCTGCCCGCAGACATCCATCTGTGAAAAAGCTTCATGCTTCTACCAGCACCGTATTTCGGATCTCCAAACTAACCACTGACCTCCCATCTCTACGCCTAAGCTATCCTCTCCTCTCCACGAAACATTGGTGCAAGTTGGATCTCCCTTGGACTGCGGTCCTTGCTTCTCACATTTCGAAAACCTTTCATCGACTCCAATAAGCATAGTCGCATCATGACGGCCGAAACCACCAGAGCTTCGCCCTCAACCAATTCCGTCACATCGAATGGAACCTCTCACAAAAGAAAGCGTCCTGGAGATGCACCCAAATACTATGCCGTTCGCGAAGGAAGAATTCCAGGCGTCTACAATACATGGGAGGAATGTTTGAACCAGATTAAGGGTCATAAAGGCGCTCTATGTAAGCTTCTACCAGCTCTGAGCCAGTAGCGTCTGGACCATATCCTGACAACCTACAGTTCAATCGTTTCCTTCTCTCACCGATGCCAGAGCTTTCGCCACCGGTCAAAGCGTCTCAACCTCAATATCAGCCAAGAACAAGACAGGGGAGCAGAGATTCTATGCTGTACAAATTGGTCGTAACCCAGGTGTCTACACCGACTGGGACACCGCCTCTAAGCAGATAGCTGGAGTTAAACGTCCCAAGCACCGACGCTTCGCAACCAGAGCAGAAGCCGAAGCTTTTGTCGCCGAGGGTAAGAAAGGCGCCGCAGCCGCAGGAATTGCTGAAGCCCAGCACGCCGACAAAAGAATGAAACTGGTAAACGGCGCAGCCGCACCAGCCGGTCTGATCCTGAACGACAAACAAAAAGACACACAAGGCAATATTTACGAACCAGGCACCGGCCCTCTCCCACCAGGCGCAGAAGACGGATTCGATCCGAACATCAAGCTTGACATCAACGGCAACCTCGTCCACAAGACTGAAGCGGAGAAGTCCACCAGAAAGAAAGTCCCCAAACCCCTTCCCCCACCCGGCATGCTCACAATCTACACTGACGGCAGCAGTCTCCGCAACGGCGCAGCCGGTGCCCCGGCGACAGCAAGAATATCTCCGAAGCCCTGAGTGGAACACGCCAAACCAATCAACGCGCCGAACTGACCGCCATCATGCGCGCCCTCGATATCGCACCGCGCCATCGCGACGTCACCATCTACACCGATAGTCGCTATGCGATCGACTGCGTGACGAATTGGTACAAGAATTGGAAGCGGAATGGGTGGGTGACGACGAATAAGAAGGCGGTGGAGAACAGGGATCTCATTCAGGAGGTTAGGTCGAGGATCGAGGAGAGGGAGGGGCTGGGCAGGGGGACTTATTTTGTGTGGGTTAAGGGCCATAACGGGGATAGGGGGAATGTGGAGGCGGATCGATTGGCGGTGGAGGGAGCTAGGCTCGGGAGGGGGCTGACAGCTGAGGATGTGGCGAGGGAGAGGGCCGACGGTACTGGTGCAGATGCTGATGCTGTTAGGGATGAGGAGGAGGATGAAGAGGCAGAGGCGTTTAGGGTTATGGAAGAGGCGATGGCGGCGGCGGAGAATATGTAAGAGAACCGGGATGGGGCTGGACTTGCAAGAGAGCTTAAGTCCTGATGAAGAGCCAATTAAGGAATAGCACGTTACAGATAAGGATAGTCTTGGAGGACCAGAGTTCGGCTGGCCTCTACTATGGTTTTGTACAACTAATATGCCAATGTACATCAATTGACGGTGCTCCAGTCTCCGTTTCGTATAACACAATTGATAAAAATCCAAGCCAAAATGCCTTCTTTATCAAAAAGTCAGTCGCTTCTCAAGCAGCACAGTTACAGAGATAGACATCTGAATGTGAATGACTACGCTGATCCAGTCCCGGACTATGACTTTGCCTCAGTCCCCCAGACGGGCTTCTTGGGCTGCATCACACACCCCATACTCGAAAGGGGCTGGTCGTTGACTAAGCAGACATTGTCGTATGCATCTGGGAATATTTGGCCTGATTGTTATTAACGCTGATCTAAATATTGTTAGATGGACCGGACATTCCCTGCATGTGCGAAGCATGCGCTAAAAGACTGGATTACGGTCCTTCGGTCCATAACCATCTCATGCATCCTGTACCACTTGGCATTCCTAACAGATCTCTATACTCTTACTTAGAGAATCTAATTTGACAGAAATTTAATAAAGTCCTTGATATTAATAAGTTATTAGCGGCTCCTGAAATATATAGCCAGTAGTTTTCATTATATCTCTAGATCACTGACCACTAGTTAGACTGCAACCATACGCTTCAATACTTAGCACTGTGTTCAACCTGTGTATTTTTGGTAGGCTTTTGCCAGTCTTAGCATGACACTGATTCTGCATTGAAATAGCTGTGAATTCTGCGTAGGATTCTGTGAGGATTCTGTGCAGGATTCTGTGCGAAACAATGTAGATTCTGGGGCGAATTGTGCGTAGGGTTCTGCGTTGAAACAGCTGTGGATTCTGCGAAGTGTGCCCAAAGAGCTAACCGTGCACTTTTTGCACTAAGCTTTGCAGCTTAGTGCACCACACCGCAACGATAGATTTCAGCGCAACGATAGAATTTTTCAATTATTCGTACGCCCACACAAAACGCGCTCCCATTCAACGAAAAATGGCCGAATCCTATCAAGAAATTGAGGATAGAATCGATAATGCTATTTACGCATTAAACGAAGCCGAATTCCCTAATATCGCGCAAACAGCACGCCAATTCGACGTCTCTGAACAACGACTCCGAAGAAGATACAAGGGTGTTCAAAATAAGATACAATGTGGAGGGGCTAATAAAAAGCTTAGTGAGGACCAGGAGCTTGCTTTTTGTCACTATCTTGATCGATTAGACGAATCAGGAGTGAGTGCACGCCCTCAAATGCTACAGAGCATTACAAATTCGATCCTTGAACGCGCTCACAGCAATTCTACTATTGCCCCTCCTATAGTTAGCAAGATTTGGTCCTTCCGCTTTCTACAACGTCATCCGAAGTATATTATAAAGAAGAGGAAGCCTCTCTTTATTCTACGAAAGCTTACACACAATCAAGAGGAGATACAAGCTCATTTTGAGCGATTTCGTGAGACCAAGACGAAATATGGTATTCTTGAAGAGGATATCTATAATATGGATGAAACAGGCTTTCGAATAGGCGTTGGTCAAGCGTACAAAGTTATTGTACAAAAGAAAAACACTTAATTGCCCTCCTTTATTAATGATCCAGATAATCGCGAATCTCTTACTTCTATTAAGTGTGTAAGCGCTAATAGATTTCTTCTGCCACTAATTCTTGTGGTACAAAAAGGGGGCATTATTACTGTTGAGAGGGCCAAGGAGCGAATTCGATTACGCACACGAAGGGAGCAAGAGAGTTGGGAGAAGAAGGAGTACTCTCGGCGTCAATGCCCTAAACGGGAAAGAGCCAAGTTTGTACGCTTCTATAGGGCTATTTCTGCGCACGCTCGTCTTCGTATCGCCTCTATGGACCCTATGGACCAATTAGATTATCAATTGAGCGATGAGGGGGGTCAATAGCTGTAGAAATAGAAAAATTCTATCGTTGCGCTGAAATCTATCGTTGCGCTGAAATCTATCGTTGCGCTGAAATCTATCGTTGCGCTGAAATCTATCGTTGCGCTGAAATCTATCGTTGCGCTGAAATCTATCGTTGCGCTGAAATCTATCGTTGCGCTGAAATCTATCGTTGCGCTGAAATCTATCGTTGCGCTGAAATCTATCGTTGCGCTGAAATCTATCGTTGCGCTGAAATCTATCGTTGCGCTGAAATCTATCGTTGCGCTGAAATCTATCGTTGCGCTGAAATCTATCGTTGCGCTGAAATCTATCGTTGCGCTGAAATCTATCGTTGCGCTGAAATCTATCGTTGCGCTGAAATCTATCGTTGCGCTGAAATCTATCGTTGCGCTGAAATCTATCGTTGCGCTGAAATCTATCGTTGCGCTGAAATCTATCGTTGCGCTGAAATCTATCGTTGCGCTGAAATCTATCGTTGCGCTGAAATCTATCGTTGCGCTGAAATCTATCGTTGCGCTGTGGTGCACTAAGCTGCAAAGCTTAGTGCAAAAAGTGCACGGTTACCAGTTCTGTTGATTTTTACATAAAATTACAAATTACTGGATAATACACGTAATTTTGGCCCAAATCGGTATAGCTCGCTTACTTTGAGGGGCGGAATGACAATCAATCCGTAATTTTGTATCTTAATCTCAGACATGCTGGCACACATTGACTTAGTCATCGTCTAAGCCACATAGCACGGCTGAGAACTGAGGCAACTATGACTTACAGTATTGGGTTGGCACCACATCCAAAGATCACTTTCTGATACAACATGGTCACACAATCACACCCAAACAGCCCGATAGCATTCTACTATGAGACAACTACTGCAAGAATGCCACAGCAACTTCTCACCATGAGTGATAATAGTTTACAGCATCCTCCCGGGATACCCTCCTGTGGAACCAGCCTTCTGGGGCATCCTTTGGGGCACCCTTTCAGAGACACCCTCCTAGGGCGCCATCTTAGGATACCATATTAGGTCACTCTCTTGAGAGCACCCTTTAGGAGCTCGCCTCTAGAGATTCACTTCTAAGAGTATTCGTTTCCAGGGCCAACTACCGTTTGCCTGCTGGTTGTTATACGAATATCGCCGGTGGGGTATCTGACCTCGCTGTTGACCCCGGGTCTTGTCTGTACTAGCTAAGAAACACGACCACAAACTACTAATACGTATGAATGAGCAGTGACTACTCTTATATACCAAGTGCGCGATAAGTACAATGTCTCCTGAAGATCTATTAAATCCGTCAATACAAACTCCACACTCTCCACGAAGGCAACACTCTCCCTTTCTAGCTCGTCACGACCACCACCAGCAAGAACAACAACAACATCAGCAGCAGGAGGCATGTCAGCGACATGACCCTCCTCTATCAGTCTTTCAGCAGGGACGAAGTGGGCCATGGTCATCCCATGATGATGAGGTGCTCGTGCAAGCGAGGACCATGAATATGGCATGGGGAGCAATCCATGAGAAGCATTTTCCAACCAAAACTGCCAACGCTTGTCATAAGCGGTATGAGAGGTTGATGCTAAAGCGTCGAGCAAATGAATGGGACGAAGACCGGACCGAGAGACTTGCCAAAGCATATAAAGAAATGAGAGAGGAGATGTGGAACCCATTGGCAAATAGTTTGGGAGAACGGTGGGAACACGTCGAGAAAATTGTAAGTTATCCTTTAGAAATAGAATACCTCTGATGGTACTTACCCGTATAGTGCATGGAGAGAGGTCTTAGAAATATGCTCCATCTAGCTTCTATCTCTTATGAGAACAAACCCGACCAACTCTTAGGGAACAGCCTTGGTAAGGAAAACAAGTCCCCAAAGCATCGCGCATGGGAAGAAGATATTGATGCTGCCCCTTATCGGAACAAACCCGACCAGCCCCTAGGGAACAGCCCTGGTAAGGAAGAAAAGTCCCCAAAGCATCGCGTATGGGAAGAAGACATTGGCGCTGCCTCAGAAGAAGCATCCTCTCGTCGACGACCTGGCCACAGCGACGATAGAGCAATATCAAATTGGCAACAGATACCAGGACAGCCACCCCAACAGGATTCTACGCTAATAGACACGTCTACACTAGTCTTCAAGGGTGAAGATGGTCAGGAACAGCGGATGACCTTTGTGGAAGCGGCGATGGCACCAACACCGTCTTCAGCAGATATCCCCCAAGATGCCTTCGAAGATCTGCTTGGAGCTCCAATATCGTGGTGGCCACTGAGGCAGCCGCGCAAAAGGTGCCCTCCCAACCACATAAGAATGATGTGGACATGTACGCACCAGGCTGTGGACTTGCCTATACTACAGACACATACACTCTATCACCCGCAAGATGGCCTCAAGCCATTTGAGTTTGATGTTCTAAACAATCACTTTAGCGGTTTTCGTCACTGGATGAGCATGATTTCTGCTCCAATGGATGCTCCAACCCTACCAACGCATTCTTTCAGTCCTTACTATACTAGAGCCACATCACAGTCCCCAAATCCATTCCCTGGTGATATAAGTGCTGGTGCAAGCTCTTCATCTGCCAGACAGCCAAGCTTAGCCGCAACGGTCTCGCAAAGGCCTTTAAGACCCGCAAAGAGCCAACAGCCTACGGACGAATATCTACATTGGTGTGTGGACCCTGTCAGAGCTGGAACTAAACTAGTTGAATTCAGTTTAAAGAGTGTTGGTCATCTAGACCTTGTGTCCACTCTTGTAGAGGCATATCGAAAGGCGCGAGGCCTTCCTGGGCGATTCTCTCTGACAACATGCTCAGGCGCGAGACTAATAAAGGTATGCTATAAATCTACGTCTTGACTGCTCCCTGCTAATATGTTACAGTTCAAGAAAATAGAACCAGACCACAACATCGTAGCTTGTATCGCAAGATCTATCCCCTGCCCAACTACCAACGACAACTACTCCTATAGCTATCAAGCCCCGGAGCCCGAGTTCATCCGCTTCGTAGAGGAACTACTCGCATATCGCCTACAGAATCCTTCCTGCAACTGCCCTTCCATACTCAATTTCCTCCCGAAGAAGATCGGTGGCAAGTTGAAGCAGCAGTTTGGAGAAGAGGGATATGGCTTACATGCCGTTTCCGCCTGGTCTCTTTGGAAAGGCCTCGTCGCTTTTCTGATCCTCTCGATACCGCCATTGATCTTTGCCATGAGTTGGCTGGTAGGCCATCACGGTGACATACAGAACGCGTTTATATTGGAGGTGCTTCTCATAGGGGTGTTGAATATTTTTGTTGTGAAGGTGGATAGCCCGATGGTTGGACGGAAGTGATGTGATATGATATAATGGTTTACGATGGAATGGAGTCGATGTTTCATATCTTGTCCCTGATGCTTTTTAGAACATGGCAGACTTTTATTGAGACATAAACGCCCAAAAATACTTGCCAATACTTAGCTGGCATTGTAAGCTTCCACAAACGCATGGGCAAAGGGACCACTTCGTTTGGCTATTTTAGAGATCCATGTTGCTCGCTTGAGTAGAGCTCTACACCTGATGCCTTCACCCGTGCCATTGTCGTACACGTCGCATATGTCCCCACCTCTCGCTCGTCGCTGTCTGCGCTCTTTCATCCTTTTGCTATTTCTGCAGCCCATGCGGCATCTGGCTGTTATCAAAGCAGTGATTATCTGCAGCTGCCTGCAAGGAGCAGGAGAGATGTTAGGATTTGCATCATTGCAGAATGGTCCACGTGGAATGCCACTGCGTTATACGAACAGTTTGGATGTATCTTCAAGGTGGTGTGACTGCCATGATTCTGGTTGGCAGTGGTGAGTCGATACCAATGATTATGGATATCATTGACGTGAGGGAAATTGAAGAACTCTTAGGACGGGAGACGAGGCATAGCATTTGTTGAGCTAATTGTCAAGAATATCAAGCCAGTAGTCCTTGTCGATGAATCTTTGTAGGAAAAAATAGCATCTAGTGGCACTTCCCATAGCAGCCTCCGGCTGTCGTATGAGATCTTTTGCAAATCGTCTTTCCTGAGTCTTGTTCACCGGATACAGCTCCGTGGTATTTTTGGAATGTGTCAACTCGATAACGAATGAAGTGGCAAGTGCTCTAACAGTATCAGTGCGTACCTGGCAACCTGGTGTTATGAAAGTCTGGACAGTGTATTACAATTAGTACGTATGTAATTAAACCAAGGGATCGTCATGCGGGGGAGCTGAACGTCGCCGCTTCCGAACCGTTTTGGCGTCGGAATAGCTATGCGGGGAAATGGATGTGTTGCATGGGGGCAATGGAGTTCGCCTTGTCTTGGGTCACCTCACAATAGAGACAGAGAGTCAAAGGTTGTCAGAAACAGAATCCTTATCAATCGCTCTTCCATTTCCAGCGCCTTGAGTAAATTTCTTCTTACCGGAATTTCTGCGTTATCCCAAGATGGGCGATCCAAATCCAGCAAGCAGTCGTGAGGGTGTGGATAGGAGCTCTCGATTCGATCCAAATTTCACGCAACATGTTATCGACGCAATGGGAACGAAGACTTCGCCAAGAATGCGAAAACTTATGACGAGTCTGATCAGACATGTTCATGACTTTGCACGAGAAAATGAGTTGACAGTAGATGAATGGATGAAGGGCGTGGAGTTGATTAACTGGGCTGGTAAGATGAGTAATGACCGACGCAACGAAGGACAACTGGTCTGTGATGTAATTGGCCTCGAATCGTAAGCAGCCAATTGAGTCCACGTTTTATGTTTCAGGAAGGCTCTGAGAATCACCTCATCCACCAATCCACCAATCCACCAATTCACCACTCTAACTGATAGCTAGCCTGGTCGACGAGATCACATACAAGAAAGCAGCCGAAGCCGCGGATAGTGTGACTCAATCCGCTATCTTGGGACCTTTCTTTCGGCATGATGCTCCGCTACGGGAGAAGAATGCTTCCATCACGTTTGACACACCCAAGAATGCTCAGGTAGTGTACATGCATGGACGAGTTCTGAACGCAAAGAATAAGCAGCCATTATCCAGGGCTTCTATCGATGTTTGGCAAGCTTCAACCAACGGTGTGCAGCTCACTGTGGCGTAAAGTCTTAGTTGACAGTTGGATAGGTCTTTATGAGCAGCAAGACCCTAATCAGCAAGACTGCAACTTGCGAGGAAAATTCCAGACCGACGAGGATGGTGAATATGCATTCTACTGCGTTAGACCAACTCCATATCCGGTGCCTGACGATGGACCCGCCGGCAAATTATTGAAATTGATGGATCGACATCCTTACCGACCAGCTCATATTCATCTTGTCGTAAGTGCCTGCAGGTTACCTCTGAGAAAAGCTCACAAGTGCAACCAGGTAATGCTGGATGGCTTCAAGCCCATCACGACCCAGATTTTCGATGCTGAAAGTCAGTACCTCGAAAACGATTCCGTGTTCGCAGTAAAGGATTCTTTGATAGTCAAGTTTGTCGAACGGAAAGACGATCCACAAGCGGAGATGGAATTGAAGTATGACATTTTGATGGTGCCTAGCGACGAGGTGGGAGAATTGGATCCTCCGCTACGGTCAAGCGGCATTGGTTCGGGCTAATGATCCTTAAAATGAACATAGTGTCCAGTACTAGAGCCGAATTCCACATGGTATGCTGCGTAACAGCATTGTTGTTTGGCAAAAGCAATCTTTTCGCTTTCTAGGGGCTGAAGTACAGTATACTTCAACCGTGCAGGTTAAGATGTCTTGGTTTTAGGCTGCCTATCTTGCTTGCTTTTCCCATCTTCTGCAGAAATGACGAGCTTCAGCACTAGCTGCCAAACGTATCCGGAGAGGAACCAGCCCAAAACAGCAACCACTATGATATACCCCGCAGTAGGAAGTAGAGATTTGGGGAAGATGTTTAGGATGTAAGGATCAAGAATGATGTCTACAAGAACAGGCGGAACATTTTCCATAAGGCTCTTGTCGAGAGTATAATAGTCAGCAGCTGCGAAGATACGTAGGAACAGAATCGAAGCTCGGTCCTCTGTTGATGTGGACAAGCCAGGTGACTGTTTTGCTCGACGGGCCACGAGTTTCTGGTGCTCGAGGTCATCTATCTCCGCATGACGAGCATAGGCGTATGCACTCAACGAGCCGATTAAAGGAGGATTGTCGAAAACGTTTTGGAGTGTGAAAGTGTCTAGTGAGAACGCTGTTGGTTGCTATATTGCATAAGTTGGGGTCAGCCAATATGACAGCGGCGGAGCATTTACATACCGTGGCCAGCCAACATATCCTTACCTCATAACGTGCACCAGGAGATAGACCGTCAAGGAGCAACCAGTGCTCACTGCCGTTGGCAGCATCATCGGTAGGGAAGGAGGCATTCAACCGTGTCCTAACGGAGAGATGTAAGGGTGACAACGGGATTAATGAGAGATCATCCAGGTTAGGATGAGCCGTAGGAATGGAGATAGCTGGTGGGGCCACGAAAATTGTCTTTTCAACATTTGCCAAAGCATGCACGATATATAGGCATAATAGAAAGTAAGAGAGATACATGTTGACCGTAAAAGTCCAGGTGCGTAAATGACCCCCAAAGCCGGGCTCGTTCAGCAACCACCCATGAGACCTTGTCAGTGTAACTGTATGGTCTAACAGTACGGTATAGCAGTGCTGTTCGGAAAGTTGTGATATAGACGGAATGATTAATATTTGTGCTCTGAGAGGTGATCGTTATCTTCCATGGTGTTGATCTTCCAAAACCGTGTACTAGGTAGACGCCTAGACGTTTATTTGTGCCAAGACCATTTTATCTGGTTCTGATTGGTGGATGGCGAGTGCACGTACCACCCCTGACTGGGCCAGAGGCGCGCTTAACAACACTTTTGGACTGCTCGCACTTGCAAATGCACAACAAAAACGAAGTTGTCCACAAAACTCACAACCCCCACAATCAACCTCGTTACTACAGCATATCTTGGAGCTTCATCACTGTCTACCTACGAAGCTCACTTTATCACCCTTCTCTGTACCATTAGCATCTTCGACCATCCACTATGCGAGAAGTCATCAGCTTGAATGGTATGTTCCCTCACGCGCGCCCGGCGGTCGATCCTTGTCAACATCAGTCAACAACGTGACCTGAGACTGACCTTGTCTTCAATAGTCGGCCAGGCCGGTTGCCAAATTGCAAACTCTTGCTGGGAGGTATGGCTATTCCCAAGAGCAAAACTCTGCCTTTGTGTAGGAGTCTTTGGCTAATCTCTCCCCACACCAGCTCTACTGTCTTGAGCATGGCATTCAGGTTCGTCCTCCATCCCAGACAAGTTTCAGCCGATCTTCTGACATGCAAATTCTACAGCCTGATGGATACCTGACCGAAGAGCGCAAAGCAGCCGATCCGGATCAGGGGTTCAGCACTTTCTTCTCAGAGACTGGTGAGCTCAAACCACATACATCTTCAAACCCCACGCGAACTAGTGTTGACGCAAAAACCTACAAGGCAACGGCAAATATGTCCCCCGAACGATTTATTGCGATCTTGAACCAAATGTGGTAGACGAAGTTCGCACTGGCACCTATCGCAGTCTTTTCCACCCAGAACAAATGATCACCGGGAAGGAAGATGCGTCCAACAACTATGCACGTGGTCATTACACAGTTGGCAAAGAGCTCATTGACCAGGTTCTTGACAAGGTCCGCCATGTCGCAGACAATTGCTCCGGCCTTCAAGGCTTTCTGGTCTTCCACTCCTTCGGCGGTGGCACTGGCTCAGGTTTCGGAGCTTTGCTTATGGAACGCTTGTCTGTCGACTATGGGAAGAAATGCAAGCTTGAATTCTGCGTCTACCCCGCTCCTCAGCTCGCTACTTCTGTCGTTGAGCCCTACAACTCAATCCTCACGACTCACACCACTCTGGAGCACTCAGACTGCAGTTTCATGGTCGACAATGAGGCTATCTTCGATATCTGCCGACGCAACTTGAGCATTGAGAGACCCAATTATGAGAACCTCAACCGTTTGATTGCGCAAGGTGGGTCTTATGCTCTCGAACACTCCTCGATGGCTCGGCTAATCGTTGTAACAGTTGTGTCATCCATCACTGCCTCCCTCCGATTCGATGGATCCCTCAATGTCGATCTTGCAGAGTTCCAAACCAATTTGGTTCCCTACCCACGTATCCATTTCCCACTCGTCGCATACGCCCCTGTTGTCTCTGCCTCCAAGGCCTCGCATGAAGCCAATTCTGTTCAGGAGATTTCAATGTCCTGCTTCGAGCCCAACAACCAGATGGTCAAATGTGATCCTCGTAACGGCAAATACATGGCAACCTGCTTGCTCTACCGTGGCGATGTTGTTCCGAAAGATGTCCACGGTGCTGTTGCCACCTTGAAGACCAAGCGGACTATCCAGTTCGTCGACTGGTGCCCTACGGGTTTCAAAATTGGTATCTGCTATCAGCCCCCTCAGATGGTGCCCAATGGTGATCTGGCTAAGGTCAATCGCGCTGTGTAAGTTTATTAACAAGCATTCTCTGACAATCACTGATGGATTCGTAGCTGCATGTTGTCCAACACCACTGCAATCGCTGAAGCTTGGTCTGCGCTCTCTCACAAGTTCGATCTCATGTACTCCAAGCGTGCATTCGTTCACTGGTACGTTGGTGAGGGCATGGAGGAGGGTGAGTTCTCTGAGGCTCGTGAAGATCTTGCAGCTCTTGAGCGTGACTATGAAGAGGTTGCAAGCGACTCTGTTGAGGAGGGTGATGGTGCTGAAGCCGAATACTAAGTGTCAGTGAGGACCCAAGGAGCAGTCCTGGTATCCACATCGACAGTGGTTTGGAGGCCGGATTGTCATCCTCTATTTTCCTGTTTGTGTTTTTGGCTGGTTTTGCCTTTTTCAGCATGACTTTTCAGGCGCTTGCAAGAGTCCAGGGTTGGAGCCATCCATACCAGAATGTGTTTCACTCAGATGGTAGACTCGCAGACTGCAAACCTATCACGCACAACAGCATGATTGAATGAAGAATGCTACTGCTGTGTATGGACGACCTGATAATAAAGCTGTACGTATGGATACCGAAACCACCTTGTCCTACGTTCAGCCTCTGTAGATTGAGTGATTATAGAGGCCGGAGGGCCTGGATAAGGTCCTCCGGTCCTGATTCACCTTGCGGGTTGCCAGGGGTTGCCGCTCTATCCCAACTAAGTTGTAGAGTCTGCAGTCTGCACTATAACAGTTAATCTTACCACGTACTATAATCATGAACTGACGTCCGTAGCTGTGGTTTACGATTATTAATCTCTCGACTTCCGACCACTTTCCTCAATCTATGAGGTAGCCACTGGCTCTTCTGCTCTACGTGTCATTGTATTATGACACTTATTTGCTCGAGCACGTGCAGAACAATCCACGCGAGACATCCAATGTTTAAGGTACAGGACAAACTGTCCACATTGGCTCTCCTACTCAGATGCCGCTACATATCCAACCTTAAAACGTAAAATCTCCGTACTAGTGCAACTACTACATCCGTTTCCTACTCAACCGTAGCTGAACCAGAATGGGAGACGTGCCTGTGTGCCCATGCAGACGCAGACCTGAGCCCACCGTGGGGTGGAAATTCAGCCACCCTTGGGCACATTAACCAATGCAGACTTGTCATGTTTACCTCTCCAGAAGTTTACAGGACCCAGAAGCAATGAATGCTGATCGACCCTTTACCTTTGGTTGCCGTCCCCAGATAACTCACCCCTATCTCCAAAATCTCGCCTGCCACCTTCAGCGGTAGTGCTAACTTAAATCTTCAATTTCTTCTTCTCCAGCGTCTGCTCCATACACCTAGTCATTCCTCCATCCACACTTTGTCAATCATGGAGAAACAAGAAGTCACAAAGATTCCTCCACCATCATGGTTCTGTCGGATGTCCATTTCATAGCCAAAGCCGACGATGGATACGTTATGGCTATCACAGGCAAAAAGGAGCAATCGGTTCGACGATTCAAATTTCTTTTAATTCTGCTCTGTCGAGAAACCCGTTATGCTCCGAGAGGCTGAGGCTGGTGTGGCCGGTGTGGCCTATGCTCATCTGTTAAATGGCGGCCCTATCTCGCTGGACCAGGGAATGGTATTGTCATTCGTTGGCACATTGTCTCTTGCTAGCCCCATCGCAGAGAGGGCCTCGAGCACTCGACCGCAGATGCTCAGTACCACCAGACTACCATGTATAGCCTAAAGGGGCTGGTGTTTTTATTAGCTGTGTGCAATGGACTTCGATACCACAGCGATAGCCGTTGTGAACCAGAAATATTGTTCAGAAGAGATGATAGATGCTAATGTATATGCAACCGGTCAGGCATTGACGCTTGCCATAGGATGGGCTGTTGCTCGTGGTCCTATTTTGTATCGGAACGCCGGAAATGCGCTTAGTACGTCTACTACATTTCCAACAATTGAAATATTACTTTAGGCAAGGGGCTCCACAACAGCCGCAATCACCATGGAAACCTGCATTATCAATACTGGATTTGCCGTGTCCTTTGGAAAGATGGTTAGCGTATCCCTCTCCCCGGGAGTATATGCTAGGGACAGAGGCCTTCCGTTCGAGACTTCTTCCCGTTTGTAAGCACATCGCTCAATGCGAGATTTAGGGTAATAACTTGGGTACAACAAGTCAATCCTACCTACTGTACCCCTGTGTGTACTATCGGCCTGTTTTAGATAGTTATGGTCCTTCTTTTTCTCATCAACATCGGGTCTCCAATCGCCTCAACGCCATCATCTCGCTCTTAAGCGTTGTCCTTAACGGCTCGTACACCATTGCGATCCCTTGCCTTGTCCTGAAGTGCTTCTCTGAAGAAAAGATTTCCTGGGGTTTAAGGACTCTGGGCTGGTTCGACCTCGCCATCAATACCTTCGTCCCCCTTTTCAGAGTCTTATCTGTGACTCCTTGAACTTTCCCTCCCAGAAACCTATCAAGGCTATGAATATAAAATACGTAGCTCCCATATTTGGGTTTCGTGATGCTCTCCGCCATAACCGATCAGGCCATGATGGGAAGGAAGGTTCATGTAGGACCGAGAAGGGAGATTGATCTGAGGTAAGCGTATAAGACACATGAACTAGGCAGTGCCTCGGACAAACATGCATAGGATCAAACCGAGGCACGAAAGCACCGACTGGTAAGCAAAGACTTGGGGTGAGTTTGCTTGGTTTATCAATACTTTCACAAGTTTGGAAGGAAATGAGATAACGACAGAACCCTATTGGTGTAGAATGATATTGGTCGGTTCCAACGCAAGTTCTGAAAGAATTTCGAATGGGAAATAAAATAACACTCTGTAGTGCCAGCTCCTGTATCGCGAAGAGGCCGACCACTTTTTCATTATGGTAACCCCATCCAGCACTTGATATATAATTGGACCCCAAGAGCTGCTAATGTGATCCAAGAAAGCACCAGCACTCGCAGATTGATAATCATCTTATTGTCGTTTGGTGCAGGTTGCCAGTTTATTCCACCATACTACGTATACTCCGTATGTAGTAAACCTACGTAGTAAACTAAAGATGTTAATTGATGAACAAGTTCGTTTTGGCCCGAGGTCGGGCCGACAGTGAGCGTCTTGGTCCTGAGTTATGAAGACAGTACGTATGTGTAGTAGCGCTGCCATCTCCAAATTGATCCACAGCTAGCTCCGTGTTATGAATTACTTCGGATCTCCTCCGTAATTACGACTCTTCATGAGCTTGTTCTGCTGCTGCTGGCGTTCTCGCAATCCCATCCAGGCTGCTGAACACGAGCCCTGTCCATTGGACATTACCACAACGCATGTTGGTAGCTTGACTGGTGCACTTGCAAGCTTCGATCAACCTGTTTCCGCCGTCGAGTGAACAACATGGCAGACAGCTTGGATGGTGGTGCAGGTACGTCTTAAGAGTCATCAGGAGCTTTAGCTAATACTTGCGCATTACTAGGTCATCTTAAGCTCAACCTGACCCCAGAGGAGAAGAGAGTCTATGGTCAGCTCTTCCGTGCTGCTGACCCAGATGGCTTCGGAGCCGTCTCTGGCGACGTCGCGGTCACATTCTTTGACAGGACGAAGCTCTCATCGGAGGTCCTAGGCCAAGTACGGACAGCATTCAATTGCTACGATTAGGTTACTAAAGCAAAGTACATCCAGATCTGGCAACTCGCAGACACCGAGAATCGTGGGCTTCTCACGCCGTCGGGTTTCAGTGTCGTGCTACGGTTGATTGGCCACGCGCAGGCAGGCAAGGTGCCCACGGCAGACTTGGCTTCCCAACGTGAGCAATTTCTATATCTGCGTTCCTTCTTCTTACTGACATTGTATTAGCTGGGCCATTGCCGCGGTTTGACGGAATCTCACAACCCGCCCCCAGCATAGCTCCTCAGACTACAGGGCCGCCTATTAGCCCCACACAATCTGCCCTACCTCCCATACGAGTACCGACGCTGCCGCCCGAGAAGGTCCACGAATACTCGTCTTTGTTTGAGAAGTCGGGAGCTGAAAATGGTATGCTCTCCGGGATCATTGCAAAACAGATATTCGAACGAGCTAGATTACCCAACGAGGTTCTGGGTCGCATTTGGAATCTAGCAGACACCCAAGGCAGAGGTGCGTTGGACACGACCGAATTCGCTATAGCCATGCATTTACTGGCTTCATATAAGAGTGGTACAATGAGAGGGGTTCCTCAGAGCCTTCCTCCTGGGTTATATGAGGCAGCAGCGAAACGAGTACCTACCCGTACCTCAACAGGATCTTTTGCAGGCGCTGGCAGTCCTTCCACGCCTTTGGTACCTTCACAATTTACAGGCATAAGTGCGGGGCGGCCTCAAAGCCCAATTGCGAGACAGCAGATGGGCACACCCCTCTCCGCGCAATCGACTGGGGATGGTTGGGCTATCAGTCCTGCAGACAAAGCAAGATTTGATCAAATCTTCTCGGGATTAGACAAGTCGAATCGTGGTTATATTACAGGTGATCAAGCGGTGGATTTTTTCGGCAACGCGCGATTACCGGAGGAGAGTCTAGCTCAAATATGGGATCTCGCGGATATCAATTCCGAAGGTCGGCTGAACAGAGACGAATTTGCTGTCGCGATGTATCTCATAAGACAACAGAGGGGGACGAAAGAAGGACGGGGAAATCTACCTGCTACTCTTCCACCAGCGTTAGTGCCTCCGATGATGCGCAAACAACAAGCTCCGCCTTCCCAGCCGACCGCGCCAGCCTTCGAAAATGCACCTGTAACCAAACCCAGATCTGCAGCAGATGACTTGTTCGGACTCGACGCTTTCTCTTCTGCACCTACACAGGCTCCTCAATCGACAGGTGGCTCCACCGCAGGCGGGCCCTTTCAGAATCCTAAGTCTCCACCACCACCTACAAGCTCCTCTTCAAGTCCTTCTACGAACTTCAAGCCATTCGTTCCATCTTCTTCATTTGGTCAAAGTATAGCTCCACAGCAGACTGGCATTCCTACGGCAGCTCGTGCACGTGCTCTTCAACCTTCCGCTTCGGATGACTTGCTTGGCGATGCAGATCCAGAAGTCAGCCAAAAGCTGACTTCGGAAACCAGCGAGCTCGCTAACCTCTCCAACCAGGTCGGCAATCTTTCAACGCAGATGCAAGGGCTTCAAGGTACTAGGGCGTCTACTGAGCAGGAGTTGTCTCAAGGGGCTCAGCAGAAGAGAGAGTTTGAGGCAAGACTCTCTCAATTGCGGACATTGTACGAAAAAGAAGTCAAAGATGTCAAGGCGTTGCAGGAGCAATTGTCAGCTCAGCGAGGCGAGACCAAAAGAATGCAACAAGATATTGCAATGCTTGACGGAGGTTTGCAGGATCTGCAGAGCCAGCATCAACAACTTTCGACGGCCCTAGAAGCAGAATTGCGCGAAAAGGCTACCTTAAATGAGAAAATCAAGGCCACAAATAATGAGGTGAACGACTTGAAGCTCCGAGTGGAAAAGATGAAATCCGAAGCGCGTCAACAGAAAGGGTTGGTAGCTATCGGTAAGAAGCAGCTTGCGACGCTCGATGCAGAAAGGGATCGACTCCAGGAGGAACTCGATGCAGCTAAGGTCGATCGTGACGCGGCAAAAAGGGAGGCGGATGAGCGGGCACGTAGTGCACCTCCAACGTCATCTGTTGCGAGCCCAGCGAATATAGCAAGTCCGGCAGCCTCCACCACGAGCGCCACCAATCCCTTCTTCCGACGTGGGACTGGTACTTCCGAGGTCCCTTTCTCCCCACCCATCCCTAGTCGCCAGCAAACGTTGGAACGCGACAATGCATTTGACTCTATGTTTGGACCTTCTTTTGCAGCTCCAGCCGCTTCAACTCCACCTCCACCTGTCACCTCCTTTGAGAATGAGCCATCTAAGTCTGAACAACGAGCAGGGACAGAGATCTCACCATCCACTTCGCCGTTCGTATTTTCACCTAGTGAGCCTGTACCGGGTAGCGAGCCACCAGCTCCTCCACCGTCAAGCCAGATCACAAGCGCCGCATTGCCCCTTCGTGAACCGTTAAACCGCGGGGACTCGATCAGCTCTTCTGTCAAGGTAGCAGTACCCGCTAGTCGTTTAAGCCCTGCAGACACTCCAAGAGCGGCCACGCCGTCTGCTTCAGCCTCAAGCATATACAGCCAGAATGGTGACTTGCCTACTCCCGGTGACAAAGAATTCCCCACAGCGGAAGCTGAGAGATCACAACCCTTTCCTCCTATCGAACGAGGAACGCCAGATATTCGTGGGACTGAAGTCCCAACCATCAGCGAACCCTCCAGTGAGAAAGGTCCTTCTCAAGACATCCCTGGTGCTTTTCCGCAATTCGAAACTCCAAGATCTGAAAATCCCCCAACAGTCGGCGCAGATGCGGCCGGAGCTGCCGCCGTAAAAGCATTCGATGAGCATGAAGATAGGCAGGAGCCTGCGGGTAAATCTGGTGATCTTGACACAGACTTCGATCAATATTTCGGAGGGCCTGCCCACTCACGATCGCCTTCTCAAAAGGCAGCGGATTTTGACTCGGCTTTCGACTCGGCTTTCGCGAACTTCAAGGCACCAAATACTAACGGCACAGCAAGTACCACGAAGAATGAATTTCCGCCAATCCGAGAACTGGATGACAATGAAACCGACGACAGCAGTGAAGCTCCTACAGGTTTCGAGGATGATTTCACGCCAGCATCGCCTCCGAAGGCGCCCAAGGAGAAGGCAGCCGAGCAGGGTAAACCAGAAATTGCATCTGCTGTGCCAGAATCACTGCGAGCGAGGCCTCCATTCAACACTCTACCTTCTACAAACAGCTCTTTGCCAGAAATAGACGCGCAAACTTCACCACCAACGTATGGCGAGAGCGTGCCTCATGACAATCCTGATCAATTTCCTCCCGAATTCAAGGGCCTCCTACCTCACAGAGGTGATCCAACCTCTCCCGTAAACGAACCACCTCATTCTTTGGATCACGATTTGGGTGGACCTGCTAACCGTAGTCTATCACAACCATATGCACCTGAGGCTGCGAAGTCACCACCGTCCGCTGTAACGACGGGAGCATTGTCAGCAGCCGCGCCGACCCAGCAAGGAAAGGTCACGGAGGATGACTTTGATGCTGCTTTTGCCGACATGACTCCAGCTCCAGTGGTAGACGACGACGACGACGACCTCGGCACGGCTTTTGCCAACAATCATACCGCTATAGAATTTGATCCAACTTTTGATTCACCAGCACTATCAAAGTCAACAACGACGAGAATACCAGCTCCTATGGCTTCTTCGCACTTTTCGACCACAGCGGAACCAAACGCCACGAAAGACATCGGAGCAACAACCGAATTCTACAATTTCCCATCCAACAACAACTACTCACAGCCATCAGTAGCGCCAGGGCACCCAGCGCCAACTTCAACCACCTTTAAAGACAGCGATTGGGATGATATGTTCGCCTCGCTAGGCAATCGCTCTACCCCATCCACGACCGCTCCCAACAGCACCAACTTCGCTCCTGTAGCGACGGAAACATTCTCGCCACCGCCCGGCCCACCTCCGAACATGGCTGGCTCTTCGACGGTGACACCAGCAGTGGGAAATGAGACATCCTTCCCATCTTCCACCATATTCAAAACGGAGGACACGAAGCCCGAAAGACCTGTCCCAGGCCGAGCACTGACCATGGGTTCGGAACACGATGATCCGATCCTGAAGCGGCTGACGGCTTTGGGATGGAGTAGGGAGGAAAGCCTAAATGCGTTAGAGAGATTTGATTATAATATCGATAAGGTGAGTTTGAGTTTCTTCTACCTCGACTAGCTGGTTCACCTGAGTTGAGAGGTTTGTGATGTCAGGGATATGGCTGATGAGGCTAATCCTTTATTATGGCTAGGCTGCGGATTATCTGACTTTTAAACACTGACTCAACCATCCAACCACTTGACAGACGTGGGCGAAACCGGCTCCCGCTACGATACCACTACGGTGGTGCGAACATCACGGGTCGGTCAGGGAACCTGGACAGTGTATGCGAGCGAATTTCTTCTGGAAGGCGTGGTGCATTGGGGGTTATAACCTCTGCTATTTGCAGCACATGTGTCCGAACTTGGCGCTTCCTCTATCTTTTTGATGCCTCCTCTTTTCCCCCGCCCAGCTTGATCTGTCAGATCCGGATGCAGAATACGTCGAGGAGGGAGAGGCGGGAAACAATGCACAATGCAACGCGAGGAAGAGATGGTGAGATTCATCGCCCAGATGCAGCGCGCCGTGGATATAATTATTGACTGATAATGTATAAGACCTTGAGGCTTCACTCTTTACTTGGAACCGGAAGGCCTGGAATTGATCGTCGGTTTTGTGGTGGTAAGCGGGCTGATATATGTTACTGCCGGGATTATCTTAATATATACAACTTCTTTTCTTCTATTCTATCCTGACTGCAGCTCTCCCTCTGTCCCACCCTCTCTCTCTTTCTATTCGGCCACTCCTGTCCCCATCCCATCCGTTCGTTTTCACAACCACATCCCAGCCTGGCATACACTCGCTCGCTAACTCCGTACTACCTGACACACGAGGACAGGATGCCGAGAACGAGTGCTTGGCTGGTGGTAGTGGTGGTGGTGGTGGTGATGGGTGCGGCTTATCAAGACCACCCAGTTTCCACGACTATAGGGTTTCATCCAGTTTTCTGATTTTTACCATCCAGGCTTGTAGGATAGTGGGCTCAGATTGGCTGGGAGTGCTCGCTCTTCAAGCCTTGGCCCCTTTTTGGGTTGTGATGGGCCATGAAGGTAGATGGCTTGGCCCGCAGAGGCTGAAGCTCGTGGTGTACGCGGGTCCATTGGGCAGTATTCCTCTCGACTTCTTTCTGGATACCAAAATCGGTCAGGTAGATTGGTGGTTTCAGAGTAGAGGGTGCCTGAAGGGTTGGGTTTATCCGCCGAGAAAGCAGAAATTCTACCCCGAGCTTCAATCTTTGGGATTCCTTAGATTTGGTCTGGTAGGAATGCGACTTTCGTAATAGCAGACTTGGTGCTGTCTTGTTATCGAGCGCATGAATCTTATCTTCTCCAGCATCCGCGGCGTGATCTTCTGGTACTTGTCTCCCCTTTTCCCCTTTCGTGCTCGCTCTTTAGCGGTTTCAGGCTTCATTGACTTCTCCAATTCTCCAAGCATCTTATCCATATATTCTAACTGTACATAGAGACCCATGTGGACGCATTCCTGCACACTTAGCACTTGACGCAAGAGTGGGATTGGGTATGTATCCTCGTGAATATTCCACTTGTCGATGTGCTCTTCGGTTGCAGAAGTGAATTTGACCATCTGATCGAACTGTTTGGCTGGTGGCAGGTATGGGTAGATGCCCTTATCAGCTAAGGGGAAGGGGAGGGGCCAAGGTTCGGGAGTAGAGGAGGGATGTGTCGCGGGCGCCGTATCTTTTGCATTACTCTGTAAAGTCTGTGAGCACGGCTGTTGAGCACGACTGCGTTTTTTAGGGCGCCGCCTTCTTCGACGAGGCACACTAGCCTCCTCAGACTTGACCGTCGTTTTGGTCACTGGGCGGCTGGGTGATGCTTGAAGTGTTTGCGACACAACAGTAGAAGCGTCCTTAAGCTTGTCGCTCGCTCTGACAGTAGAGTTGGTGACGAGACTATGAACCTTCTCGTAGCACGAGCTGCCTTTCGTGACAGACATAGGCGTTGGTGGCATTCGTTGCGACTCATTCAACGCCCTGGCTGGAGTCTGGGGCACAGGCACATCTACCAATACCTGGAGATCGAAGCCATCAACCTCGGTCTCGTCCGAAGGAACGGTGAAGGAGGTCTCGGGGGTAATATAGGCATTTCGAGGCCTGGATTGAGGAAACTGTGTTGCGGGGAAATCTTCGCGCCAGTCTTGGGTGGAAGGAATGCCTGGAAACTCTGCTTCTGCTTCTCTCGCTGAATCGTCTTTCTCAATGCGCTGTCAATGGACTGTAAGGACGCAAGGAGCTGCCAGATTGGGACGTGAAAACAAATGCACGGACCAGGGGGTGGGCTTGGCATGATGCGTCACTTTCTAGAGTCGGTCTTCAATTATTTGATGGTCTTCACTCTTCACTCTTCACTCTTCACTCTGCACTCTGCACGTCTATCATGACTGTAGAAGGCTCTTCCCCGAACGAGAGGTCCATCAGCCTCCGCAATGCGCTCATGTCTCTCTGTCTACAAGTTCTTGACACCAGGAGTTTGGAAAAGGGTAAACCCTACCACCGCCGCCGGAAACGGTTGCAAACTTGATCTTCTTTGTGTGTACATGGGAAAATGGTCTCTTCTTTTTCTTGGCTACTATCTCCTCACTGTCATATCGCTTATTTCGTCTTCCTTCTTGTTTCAAGTTTCTGCTTTCTGCGGAGGGTGGGCCTCTTTATGCTCTTCTTCCTAGACGCTCTACCAATCAACAGGTTTGACAACTGCAAGGAACTTCTCTCCACTTCACTTCAGAGATCAGCGTAATATCTACTAGATCTACCAGCATGGCACCCAAAAAACCCCCCACAGGTTTTCACTTGGACCTCCAGAACTACGAAGTCAGAGGCGTGGATTTCTATGGCTCAATACAGGAGAGGTTGGAAAAATATGGAGAAGAATGGTCCACTTTCACACAGGCCCTTTGGGGAAAGCCACTTTCCAATTTTCTCGACAGTACTCCTGGTAACGATCGAATGGATGATTCATGGCAGCCGGTGCGCGCACTGGGGAAAGGCGCGTTCGGCATGGTGGGATTGTGGGAGAAGAGGAACCGCAAAGGCAATCTTCAAGACTGGGTCGCAATCAAGGAAATGAAGCGTGGCCTGAATCCTGGTTGGCAGCTTCAGCGCGATCCGACCTTGGCCAAGGAAGCTGTGATGATGCAGCAGCTCAATAGTGCGGAACAAGGTCGCGGCTGGCAAACGAAGAATAACATACTTCGCCTCCGGAGCTTCAGATTCTTTCCGGAAGTCAATAGATGGCGTTTCTACCTCGAATTTGCTGAGCACGGAGATCTCTATAAGCTAATACATTCGTATAGGGCATGGGATACGTATTTCCCGGAAGAATTTCTTTGGCATACATTCCACAGCTTCGCCAAAGCTGCTCTTGTGATGGAGCAGGGCCCTTTCTTGGACCCAGAGTCGCTGGAGCCTCATAATGGACCTGTTCTGCACATCGATATCAAGCCCGAAAATATCTTCCTGGGCAAGGCAGATAAGAAGGCCCTGTTTACCAACTATCCCACCATCAAAGTGGCTGATTTTGGATTGTCAGAGATAACACATCAAGACGATCCGGACAATCCATCGCAGTACAGAAAGGGTACCCTCGACCATATGCCACCCGTAAGCATTTTGGCAGCTCAAGCTCCTTGCCCACTATTGCTGACAGACATCCGTAGGAAGTCACATGTTTTACTGCCCCTTGGAGTCGACGTCCCGATGGTATTCTACACAACCTAGGCGAGAATAAGGCCGACGAGGCCATAGATATTGAGCGGGGGATGCTGGAGCCAGGCTATAAGTTCTTAGCAGCACATAACGTGTGGGGCTTCGGTAAGGTGATGTATGATATGACGACATTGTCCTGGTCAGATGAACTGGACGAGAAGATGTACAAGTCGACCACGGAAGCAGAGTACTACGGGAGTTTGAATGAGCACGCTATCCCTGAGATCAGGACGAACAAGAAGCCGGAATATTCCTCTGCCCTACGAGATTTGATCAGAGAGTGCCTACACATAGAGATTGGTAAGCGACCGACGCCGCAACAACTTCTAGAACGTACGCTGCGCGGACTCGAAGCAGCCGCGCAATCCAGGCTACAGGGCGCAGATGACCACGATGGCCCCAGGGTGTATCATATGGGTAACGAGATCAACCACATGCTCCGTGGAGATGCAGGACTGCCCGCCCAACGGTCTGACTGGAAGGCTATCAGAGAGCAATTTTGGATGCATCCACATTGGGAGCCTCTCTTGTCAGGACGGTGGGCACCGCAGGTGCGAAGCGGCGAGTTGGCCAATCAACCAATTGAAGATGGTGGACCTAAGCGTCCGGTTCGGCCATTTGCTGGTAGTGTCCGGGCAGATCCGCGTCCAATAGACAACTTTCAGAATCATCGGGGTGTGATCTGGACACTTGGTTCGTTGTCTCCGGAAAGAGATACACCAGGCAATAATGGGGAGAGTGACGGCGATGATCAGGGAGACTTAGGACATCCATACAACCCCGGAGAGAACAGGCCGTTGTCAAGGCCACACGACACAGGGGAGCTCAGCCCTAGGCCAAATGAGGGCGATGCTGCAAGGCCACCTGATGCTCCTGACGATGCGCTTACGAGTGCAGAACGTACGACACAACGTCCGGCTGAGGCGGTGTCTACACGTCCAGTTCAGCGTCTCAAAATCAACCCACCCCAAGCCCCACCGAAGGAGCAGCTTCCACAAAAACAGACCAAGAAGCGGAAACGGGTCATGGGCATCAGCGTTGATGACATTGCTCAAGAGGTGCAAGGTCGCAATGTAGAAGGACACAATCTGAGGCCTAAGCGAAAACGTTAAGCGTCCTGACATAGGTTCAGGCTGATTCTATCACCCGGTTGGAGTTGGAAAGCATTCACTTCAGCTCGTTTTCGGTGTGCTCGAGTCAAGTTGAAGTGCCGCCAGATGGTTCCAAGGAGCAGTCACTAATCTCTCTTGGACGGGGTCAATGTAAAGATGTACATGATGGGAGAGGAACCAATCTTCGGCAAGTCTCCTCTTCGCAACCTACGTGCTTGCATTTGTTCTCGATCCTCTGGTCACACGTGCTCCATGTTTGTCTCCTTGGAAACTAGAGTCTTATCAAAACCCCGAGCTTCCTCATCTCCGCTCTCTAGGGGCGGAATGTAGAACTTTCCTTGTCAGACAAGGCTGAATGAAACTGATAATAATATATTTTTCTACAGAAAGGGCTGACAAGATTAGGAGGGCCTATCGCTGACCAAGCCGCCTTCACTCAACTAGGATCAAATTACAGCACATAAGTACTCCGTAGACAGCCTGGGTTGAGAAATATTGCATCACAGAATCGATGGACATGATAGGCCAAAACGATAACGGCTTCGAGGAGAGTATGCATGACTCGCTTCAAAGATAGTAAGCCGAAATCAATCTTAGCTGAATGGACACTATCACACAGTACAGACCGTCACAAAGCAATCCTCACTGGCTGGAAGAAAGGAGATGCCCTGCCATGTGCTAACCTTCCTCTATCGCAACACTATCCAGCCCCCCTCATTGATGGGCTGGTATGCTCTGCTGTTTGTACAAAGACATGAGTTGAGCTCTGTAAAGGTCCAATTTGACCACTTCCGCATGCGGAAGAATTTTCTCTCCATGCCTTTGTAAGTACATGTGCGGTATGCTCTTTGATCTCTGGCTTTCCTGCTTCTTCCGTTCTTTCTTCGGCGCTTTATTGCGGCTTACTATACATGTTTGCACCTGTTGTACCGTATTCTTGTGGGATAATGCCTCCATGCATGCATTACACGCTATTCTGTAAGAGCTGAATCGATTCCACAATCTTTTGCAGCCCTGTTCCTACAACAATTCTGCATCCGATCTGGAGATGAACCCGCCTATTACGTTAGATCTCGACAATTTCCGGTCCCGCGAGGAGTCGTGGCGGCTTCCTGTCTCGGATGCCTTGGAAGATCCATTCTTCTACAGAGCTGCCCACTACTGGGGACAAGACGAAACGCTCTTCCTCAACAGTGCCACCGATCTTGACGACGACACAGGCTGGAAACCGGTGCGCCCTCTTGGCAAGGGTGGATATGGCATTGTTGGTCTATGGCAACAGACTGACAACAATGGTATAGTGCTAGACTCGCTGGCCATCAAGCAACAGAGATATAGAGACCACACCCTATCACAGGCGCAGCTCACGGCTGATAGCGGCATCGCATATGAGGCCGGCCTTATGTATCAACTAAATGAACAAGAATGCCCAAATATCATCAAGCTGAGAGGCTTCAAGGACCATCCGCTAGAGAGGTTGTGGAGATTTTATCTCGAATACGCAGAATGGGGAGACCTGCGTCGGCTGGAAACCTACTACCGAGCTTGGAATACTTACCTTCCAGAAGAATTCCTGTGGCAAGTATTCCATGACCTAGCCAACGCCGCGTTGGCATTGGCAGCAGGCGACTTTCACAAGATCGGCGAGGCCAGCGGACCTGAGACGGACTCCTACGTCGTACATTTCGACCTCAAACCAGAGAATATAGTTCTCGGTGATCCTCCTGACCCTAACCCTGTTCACTTTTCGAACTATCCCGTTGCCAAAATGGCCGACTTTGGTTTGGCGCGCTCGACTAATCACCTCGATCGGTCTAACCCTGCATATTATCGGGGATTAGGTACACCTGGATACCTCCCTCCGGTGAGGTCGAACCATGGTATCTTGGACGAAGGCTGACCGTGAAATAGGAGCAAGAGGGCCAAACAGCGCATTGGAAAAACCGACCGTATGGCAAGGACCGTAGACGTCAGGCACCACCAAACCTCAACGCACGACGCCGGAGGTCGTGGTGCATTCAGATGGAGATGAGGGATCCCACACCGGGGTACCACTTCGACCCTACGCACAATACGCACTGTATTGGGAAGATTATGTTCGAGCTGTTGACTTTGAGAGGCAGTGATCGCACCAGAAGTGAGATCGAAGCTCTGACAGAAAAGCAGTACTGGAACGAATTCGAACTACACGGCATAGAGGAGATCCGAACAACACGTCAACCAGAATACTCATACGAGCTTCGAAATCTGGTAAGAAGCTGTCTCAAGACCGCGCCTGCGACCCGCCCTACACACGGGCAGCTCTGGCAGACCACATTCGATGAGTTGGAATCTAGAGTAAAGGCCGTCGAAGACCCTGCTACTGGTTTGAAAAATGGGCCGCGGGTGTTCTACATGGGTAATGAAATCAACGACATGCCGATTGGTCAGCAGGACTTACCGTCCGATCAAGACATACCCTTCACTAAGAAATCTTTCTATGCTAACCGGGAGATAAAATATCAAGATCCAGAATTGGAACCCCTGTTAGGCGGCCGTTGGGATCCACAGTTGCAGCGGCACCATGGAGAAATTCCATCACCCATCCGGGGAGGAAGAAAAAGACGTTGGGAACCTGAAGCTTACATTTTCATGCCCCGCAGGGAAGATTCCCAGCGGGTGGCTAAGATGGTCAGATCAGCTCAGGGATTCTATGATGAAGAAGATGACATGTATGATAGCGAAGGAGATGATCGTGATGGTGATGAAGATGATGAAGATGATGATGGTGATGATGGTGACGACAGAGGGGACAGTGGTCATGTCGATCAAGGAGAGCGACAGGGACCTCCAAGAGGAGGTGGCAAAACTAGAGGCCAAAGTAGAGGAGGTAGTGGAGGAAGGGCTGGCATTCAAGGAATGGGTCGAGGAGGAAGAACGATGAGAGGAAAGGGTCGAAGCAGGGAAACTGGGGGAGAGGAAGGCGATCGTACATCCAGATCCGGCAGATCCGGCAGATCCGATAAAGTAAGAAAGAACGCTGACAATAGACGCACCAACAGCCACCCCAGCCAGTCAAGCAAAAAGGACAGTCTCGACCTTGCCGGGAGAGGGGGAGGTATAAAGAAAGGTACAAGGTCGAAAGACGCATTCGAAAAGACAAGGGAACATCTGCAGGCTAGAGCTCAGGCAGCACTCGCGCATTTAGAGAATCAAAACACGCCATCCTGGTCACCGACTCGACCTGGTCATTCACCGCCACGATCACCAAGTCAATCGGCACCATCCGAACATGGCTCCCCGGGTCAGCCTTCATCACTGAATGCATCGCAAGCTTCGCGCGGGAGACCCGAGGAGGAGAGGCCTCCAACAGATCCTCCGACAAGATCTTCTCCTCCGGGTTCTGCTCCTTCCAGGCCTTCTCCATCAGCGTCATCACCCCCAAGATCTCAAACCCCTCCTGCTCCTTCTCAGGTACAAAGGGGGAAAAACGCTGTGGCACAGCGGGACAGAGGCAGAGGCAGAGGCAGAGGCAGGGGCGGAGGTAGAGGCAGAGGCAGAGCCGGAACCCGTGGCAGAGGTTCCCAGCGCGGCAGAGGTTCCCAGCGCGGCAGAGGCGGTACTGAACGAGAAAGGGGCGGCGGTGTTCGAGGACGAGGTAGAGGCAGAGGAGGTCAACGGGGCAGGGGAGGACAAAGAGGAGGCGGAGAAGGAGGAGCCGGCGGTACCGGCCGCCAAGTTCAACGGGGTGCAGATCAGCTCATCATGCAACAAGCCCTTCCCACGATGGAAACACATGAGGTGCGTGGAAGAGCTTTGAGGCCGCGTCGGTGATGGGAATTGCAACAGATGTCAACGGATGGGAAGGTCCGAGATGGCGCGAAATGAGATGATGGACCTGGGACAAGAGAGGGAGTTTAATACATGATGGTCATGGTAGGTAAGAGGTTTGGGTATTTCTTCGAAGTTTTATCTCAGAGAGACGAGAGACGGTGTTTTTGTCCCCTTATCTTTGTTGTTGGAGGATACCTTGGCTCTGGCTTGCTCAAAGTCGTTTCCTTGCAATCGTGTTTGTCTGTCTGAAAACCGAAGCGGGCAGGAAGGGAAGAGAATGGAATACGACAACAGCAGCAGCAACAGCCTTTTCATTCATTCAACCCGTCTGTCAGTCAGTCCATCATTCTGTCCACGTAAAGTAAGTACCTAATTTTCCCACTCCACTCTCATAACCTCCACTCCCTCCAACTTGCCAGTATACCATACCACTCACCAGCAACCTATTCTACCCAAAGTCCTACAACCCTCAGGATTCAGTACCCGTAATCTGTGAACTAGCACGTGGGATGTTCGACAGAACCTCAATCTCCCTTCTATCATCCTTCATCAGGCTTGACCTGCTTATCCCCCCCTTTCTCTCTTCTCTCCTGCTTCTCACCTCGTTGCCTCTGCTGTGCCGCAGTCACCCCAGCCCTTCGCCTCTCTAGTCCAGTCCGCCAAGTTAGTCCGATGAAGAAGGACCAGACAAGAACAAGAACAAGAACAAGAACAAGAACAAGAACAAGAACAAGAACAAGAACAAGAACAAGAACAAGAACAAGAACAAGAACAAGAACAAGAACAAGAACAAGAACAAGAACAAGAACAAGAACAAGAACAAGAACAAGAACAAGAACAAGAACAAGAACAAGAACAAGAACAAGAACAAGAACAAGAACAAGAACAAGAACAAGAACAAGAACAAGAACAAGAACAAGAACAAGAACAAGAACAAGAACAAGAACAAGAACAAGAACAAGAACAAGAACAAGAACAAGAACAAGAACAAGAACAAGAACAAGAACAAGAACAAGAACAAGAACAAGAACAAGAACAAGAACAAGAACAAGAACAAGAACAAGAACAAGAACAAGAACAAGAACAAGAACAAGAACAAGAACAAGAACAAGAACAAGAACAAGAACAAGAACAAGAACAAGAACAAGAACAAGAACAAGAACAAGAACAAGAACAAGAACAAGAACAAGAACAAGAACAAGAACAAGAACAAGAACAAGAACAAGAACAAGAACAAGAACAAGAACAAGAACAAGAACAAGAACAAGAACAAGAACAAGAACAAGAACAAGAACAAGAACAAGAACAAGAACAAGAACAAGAACAAGAACAAGAACAAGACTTTAGTTAGTTAGTATGCTGTATACTTGGCACTACTACTATACAATAATATATCGATACACCAGTTCTGCAGACCCAAAGATAGAAGCAGAAGCAGCAGCAGGAAAACTTGAATTCTCTGTTGCCTCCACGTTGTCCTAGTCCCATCTCGTCTCGTCTACCGTGAATATTGATGAGTAACAAAAAAGCATCGTGGCAAGCGCTGTGTCGTGATGTGCTGTATTTCACACCAACCAGGTCTGCTCACCAGGAACAGAAGCCAAGGACTCTGGGGCATGAAATAGGGATGGGTCATAGTATGAATGGAGGGGCAGCAGCGATACTTCGTATAGCGGTGAATTTCGAAGAGATTTGTTAGGTCCTAAACAGGACTAGCGTGGCCTTGTCGTCATGTGACGGCTCACATTTGCCAACTGAACGACAAACACAGTCACCAACTACTAAGATTTTCAAGTTCACTGCTCTTTTGAGGCGTCAGAACCCAGTAATGCTTCTTTCAACGCTCAATAGTCATGGCAAACCCAGCTTGACTGGTTTAGTGCGGGCAACATTCCCAGGTACGCCATACTTTCACATACGTGGGAAACTGTCAGACAAAAGCTAGTTTACGGTCCTCTGAGGGCCGCGGTCCTTTTGGTCCAACAGAAACAAATGACCAGGATGTTATCTTTTACGGATGTAGCAGATGGCGTTGAATCAACAAGTCCGGCTACAGAAAGATCCACTTTTGTGGAGAACAAGCTCGGAAGGACAGTGCAGTATTTTCTGGGTAGACAGTTGTTGCACTACACAGTCCTACCACCGGTGACAATGCCCTACGAAAAGGGCGGTATCTGCCTGACAAAAACGACGGGAGTCGATGCTCAACTTTAAATATCAAACCTACTAAGACGTAGTAGCGTTTCTGCCAAGCCTGCTGCCTAGAGCTCAGCCATTTCCTTTGAGAGAAAGTACCGTAATTCAAGCTGGGTGTGTAGTGCTATGAAAGCTGAATGGATCGCGGTTTCGGCCTCGTTGCCTCCCTCACCATACAATAACGGTGGCACACCCAACTATTTCACACCGGAATGCCTCCAGGGCCACATTTAAGTAAGTGATGACAAGATACTAATAGGCAGATGTTGTTTTCCAAGAAACGCCATCTTTCTATGGATGGATGAAGTTCGAATGGAAAGCAATTTGCACGATTCGGAGCTCAAATAGGGGTGACAAAAGTCATGGCTGCATGACGTGGTTCATTGACAGATCAAGCGGCCATGAAGCGCCACACGAAGGTACCCGCATACTTAGCGTGAGCATTTTTGTGTGGCCAATAGGATAGGAATTTTCAACGTCGTCAGCCTTGCCGGGCAGGGATGACGGCACCAGATGGATGAACGGGAGATGGTCGAGATGGCCACTCTTACAGCTGTGTCTCGCTGCCATGAGGATGGAGATCGAGTACTAATCGTGTCTTTCATCCGCACCAATCCTTCTCTTATTGCTCACAATAGTCGCAAACTATGTCAGCGACGTATCCTTCGCGACACTCATTTCAGAGCAGTCGAGTCTTTGAGGCCCTTAAAGACGACGTCGATGATTTGATGCAGGATGGTATCTCATCAACACAAAACCTCGAAGTCTTCCGCAGGAACTTTGACGCCTCAATACAATGTGGACTTCCCCTCGATCAAGTCTCGGGCAGCTTCCTCAAATGCTTCAACGAAGCGCGGCCTCCAGGCATCACTCAGTCGGAGGCAAATGGGCTGGCACATCGATCTCGCAAGTCAGGCCAAGTAGCCTCTGTACTGCCCAAGTACCCAACCCAGGAAGAGTGGTCCGATATCAGGCCAGTTTTCACAAAGTTGTACTTCACCGAGGACAAACCCCTGAAAGAAGTCAGGAGTATACTTGAACAACACCATGGTTTCGTAGCAACGTGTGTATTTGATACCATTTCATCATCCTCGTTGCTAATGGCTTGGTGATAGGGAGCGAATGTACAAGGAACGGATCAAGATCTGGGCGCTCCACAAAAATTTAACGAGAGTTGAGAAAGAGACGATGATTCGAAAGATTGGACAAAGAAGACCAGTCAACCAAACTCTTCTTAATAGGCGACCTCTCTTACATCGACTTGAACGATACTGCAAGGAAAACAGAATTTCAGCGCCATATGAGCTGCACTCAGTTCTTAAACCCGCCTTCCAGCTCGCCCAGCCTATTGCGTTGTACGGTAGCATCAGAACCTGTGAGGTCATCATGCAAAATATCGAGATCTACATGGACTACTATTTCACTAGTGGACCTGGAACTCACTATTATAAGAAAGTTGTGGCCACTGCATACCATGGGTCGGCTGATAAAGCTTTGGTCTTTGTAGAGGACGAGGAAGCTTGGAAAGATATGTTGGATCCAGTGGAAATCGTTCATATCGTAAACGATGCCTTTGACGCCTTCGAAAATGGCTTTATCGAGTTGGCATTTAGAAAAATGGAGGAAGGATTAGCGCTTGTTGAAACCATGTTTAAACAGCAACCCCCAAGTTTGCTAGGCTACCTCTTTTCAATTTTGCTCAGGTGGAAACATTTCAGGTCACACTTGACTGGAAAGATGGTCAACTTCGTTCTTAAGATGGCCTCAACCATACTCGGAGATGCGCACCCACTAAGCATCATTGCTAATCAATTAGTCACCCAAACAAATGCAACTGAAAGTTGCTACATCTGGCGCGCTTTGACTGAAGCGTTGAGTAGGGCATTCGAGCCCCTGGAGAACTCCCGACAAATTGAAGCGGTGCGCTGGTACTGCTTGTACGGAATAAAAAGGCTAGGACCGATAGGTGAAGCACAAGACTATCTGGAAAGAACAGTCGGTGGGGAGACGGTACAGAAAGGTCCCAAATACCTTCACGAAAAAGCACATCTATTATTCAAGCAAGACAGATATTTGGAAGCAGAGACACTGTACAGAGAATGCCTGGAGTCATGGAAAGACGAGCAACAAGATATTTTGGCCTGGGGAACCGATTCCAAATCATTAGAATGGAAGTTTGATATACGCAACTGCCTGGGCTGTCTGGCGGCTATGCTGGATCATACGGACAGGGTCAATGAGGCGAAGGTCATGTGGAGACGGTTTTTCGAATTTGACTTCAAGGCGTTTGGCTCAGACGGTGTCAACACCGTGATCACTGGATCTTCTTTCAACGACTTCCTCGCAAAGCATGGCTTCCTTGAGGAAAGAGAGATGCTGAGAGCTGAGTGTCCAGAGCTTCTTCGTCGAAGAGAGATCCCAAAGGAATTCTGGTAATACCACTTTGAATGGCAGCTTCCAATTCGTTTAACAACAGGAGAGAAATTCTTCTCACCCAAAATCAGGAGTGGCTGTCGTGTTTTGTGGAGTGTGGAGAAACCTTAGAGCTCGCCGGCCTTTCTTACATTTTGGGAATGGGTGGTTTGATGCGAATCTTTTGTGGATACGAGACGACTTCTTCACTCGTCACAACAAAATTCTCAGACGATTTATCGATCCACTTACAGAACTTCCGTTTGTGCTTTCCACGCCGTCGAGAAATTTTAGACCCGCCTCATATCTATTCGCAGACTAATCGCATGATCTTCTCTTTATATTCTTAATCACAACTGAATGGGACAACCTCTCAATCGACTTGCACAATTCACGGTTTCGCATATTTGCAACACCGACTCCAGATCAGAGACTTTTCGGTTCCTGTGGGAAGGAGGCAAAGAGTGACCCGTCAGTCGATCGTTCTGTCGGCCGCTTTGAGGCCTTGCTTCCTGTTCCCCTTTTTTGGTTGTCGTTCACCGGGGAAGAGCGGAGATGTGTTGACCTTCACTAGGGATAATTACGTGGGCCCCTCTGGTCAACTTCAATCGGGAGGAAATGCAAATGGGTTTCATATGGTTCCCGATCTGTCTCCCGCATGTCTAGTCTGTAAACTGTTTCTTCTCTCCGCAAGAAGAGTTCAATTTGATCAACAAGAATCCCTTCGTCTTCAAGCTAATATGTGGAAAATCAAGCCTCGATTTCACAAACCCCCACTCCACAAAAAGTCGATTAGACCCACGTGACCAACAACCTTGCTTCTCGAACAACACCCCTCTACCTACTACTACTACTCCACCACGATTGCACTTTTCTTTCCGCACAGCGCTCTCGTTGTTAGTGCTCTGGGCCTCAACCAGTGTATCCATCAAATCAAATAAACCAAATCATTGACCCCCATTTGATTTGCTTATCTAATCCCAGAGGTCGATTTGATTTGATTTGACTTATTTGTTAAGTGGAATCAAATGTTAGTAAGCAATGTTTTGTTAGGAGGACTACTGAGGATTTTAATCTCAGAAAAAAGTCCCTCAAGACTTTTCTCTTTCTATCAAAAACAACCCTGAATATTTCAAAATAGAGGACTTCTCTGCCAAGACTTCCATTTGATATCAAATTTCAAAATCTTGATCAAACTCTTCACGTTCGGCCGCAAGATCAAAAAACGCCGACAAGAGCATCGATTCCATCTCCCGAGACATCGCAGCCACCGGTGTCGGTGCTGCAGCAGGTGGGGCAACGCGCTCAAGAAGGATGAGACGTTGAAGCTCTGCAGCCGCGACGCGGGTGCAGACGCGCCAAGGATCTGGTCGAGGATTGCCAGAGAATTTTTGGTGAACAAGATAAGGCGATTGATGGCGGTAAGGATAGGGGAGGTGGGGGGGAAGCTTATCTTGGGCTGGAGGTAGAAGGTCGAGTATGATGAAGTGGATGAGTGCAATTCTATCTCAGAAGGAGGGGAGGCTAACTACTGTTGCTACAACCTTCAATTCGAGTCACGCAAAAGTAATCAATGCCAAGACGCAAGATGTCCGTCTTGAAATGTGAGCCGGTTTCTACATCCTTCTTGAGACAATCTCCTAAATACTTCGCACACTAATCTTAGCCTCTCCAAAATTCATTTCCACTTGAAGACCTGAGCACACGTGATGGTGACCCGAGCGATGGATAAGCAGCCCTGAGCTATGACTGTACAAGACTATTCTGAACTGGTGTGATCCTTTGAAAAAAACTCATGAGTGCAATGGATTGAGTGACTTGATTGATTCTAACGTAGTTGGGAGAAGAGGAAGAGGCTGATGAGCTAATCTAAGCAGCAGCGCCACCAGGGGGTGTCTGAATTCATTTGACACTATTTGCGCCGAAATTTAGCCGAAATGGACAATTGTTACTCCTATGTACAAAATCATCGCCATTTCACCACAACGATGACCTTATGGCTTTCCCATCCGAATTTGCTAGAGTTCTGCATCGAGAAGGCATCTCAGCAATACGCGCTTGAACCTCCTGCATTGTAATTTTGCTCCATTCGTCTTGCAAGACCTCTTTGAGCTGATCAAGATTATCCCATCTTCTTCTTCGAATTCGCTGTTTCAAAATGCCCCAAATAGCTTCCATAGGGTTTAAATCAGGCGATTGAGCAGGATGAACAAGTACAGTTATCCAATTGCTATCCTTGAGCTGTCTAGCAATGTTAAGCTCAGATTTTGTACCATGAGAAGGATCATTATCCTCTTGTAGAATAGCATCCTGTCCATAAGAGATTCGTGCGTTTTGAATAGCTCTGATATAGATAGGTAGAAGGCGCTTAGTATTTTTGAGTTATTGAATTACCCTTGGGTTTCATTTTAACTGCATAAGGTAAAGTAGCCTCTTAATTAATCAAATGCTGTTCAAATTACTTATTTGATTCATATTAACTCTTACGCGGTTTGCCAGGTCTTTTAAGAGGGGCTCAAGATAATTATTTTCATTATTATAAAACTCTAATTTTTTAGCCTTTAAATACTAATTAATCCAAGTAGTAATATAAAGCTTTATTCCCTTTTTCTTAAGTAATTTCTATACATTTTTAAGCTTATAACAAGTACCTTGTTCTTATAGAATATACTATTGAAAGACCTCTATAAGATTAATATATACTTTATCTATAAAATAGATTTTAGCCTAAAATTTATTAATACTTTTGTTTTGATGCTCTGCTCTGTACTCTTTGCGCTTTTTCTTATTATTTAATGAGACTTGTTTGATTCGTACAGATTTATAGCGTCATGCGTGATTTGTATGCTGTTAGAGGCTTCATTAAAGTGTACGAGTCTTGCAAGGAAGATTGAAATACTGAATTTGATGCTCATAATGCTGATTTCGAACAGGATTCGAAGGAGAAAGCTGAATTTGATGCTCATAATGCTGATTTCGAACAGGATTCGAAGGAGAAAGAAGGCCGTAAATTTGCTCCTTTATAAGATTTGAGGGGCGCCCTAGACGCTTTGAGAGCTTTCAGGTCCTTCGATAAGCCGGAGATCCTTGAATCTGACGTTTCTTGAGCCAATTAGCAGCAGTTTGGTGGCTAATGCCATGTTTGGCAGCAAAAGAGCGAAGAGATTCTTTAGAGTCTATTCGAGAATCAAATGCTTCAAAAAACCGGGATTTTCGCACAGTATCAGCTTCTCTGTGCTTTATAGCCGTATTCGGAGTAGCAGGAGGACTCATCTTGCTGAATTGATTGAGTAACTTTGTGTAGAAAACGAGTGGTTGAATTGTTAACTGATTCGGCTAAATTTCGGCGCAAATAGTGTCAAATGAATTCAGACACCCCCTGGTGGCGCCAAGGCAGAGATAACGGAACACACGTGACAATATGGGCCCTCCTTTGAAAATTAATACGTCCTTGTATTAATCTGTTCGCCCTACCAGGTTATTGATGTGCTAGTCGATTCGCTCGCTTGGATGATTAGGTCTTATTATATTAAATAGTTGCCTTTTTATCTTCTCTGACCCTTTCTAAAACTTCTAGTCCTCTTCTGTCGCTGTACCGTGGCCGCTCAAGTGATTGAGTTGGATTTCCTCAGCAAGTCCTTGACCTCTCGCCGTTCTGGTTAGGCTGTGTGGACGACTTTTTTCGCCTGTGCAGAGCCGGACGTGGATTGAGATCTTAGTAATTACGCTCAGCTCAGCGTTGCGCTCGAAATCTATCCTCGCGGAGGCGCCTGCCCAGCAACCCTCGGAATGCGTTCGGAACGGTGCATTCGCAGCGGTGCATTCGGCAACGGTGCATTCGGCGTTTGGGTCTTGGCGGGTATTGCGTCATATAAATTGCTAGCAAATCTACCTATCTTGACCATCTGAATAATATGAAATTTTACACATGAGGATACACTACTTACTGATGGGGGTCCCCTATTCTTACAACGGGGGTCCCCTATTCTTACAACGGGGGTTCCAAAAAAGATTATATAATAATAATTAAGTAAAGCTTATACACTAGCCCTAAGGAAACCTAGCACACTAGACTACTTAACACCCAAAAGCTTATAGACTAATAGTATTACTTAACATAATAGATAAGGCTCTTAAATCTATTATAGTATAATGTATTACCTATCTAGCAAAGCGTTATAAGACGCTACTAGAGTTACAAATAAGCGCAAGACGTGACCGCTTAACTAAAGCTACTTTAGAACTACTTACTAAATAGATGTATATAGTCTAAAACTAAGGAAGAGACAAGATAGCTACTCTATTAAGTATAGATGTTATAGGCGCCTTTAATATAGTATTATATTAATAGCTTATCCATAACTTAAGGAAGCGTAAGATACCTCTAATAATTACTAATTAGGTGGCTAGCTTTCTATCTAATAGAGCCTTTATACTCTTTATAAGTAATAAGATGTCTAAAAGATTCAAGGTCTATACTAGAATCCCTTAGGGCTCCTTAGTCTCGCCTATCTTATATCTCTTTTATAATGCAGACCTCCTAAATATTAGGAATTACTAAAATACTAAAGTAAGCACTTTTAATTTTATTAATAATATTAATCTATTAGCGTTTAGCTAGAGTATAAAGAAGAACTATAAATACCTAAAGCAACTATATACTAAGTGCTTACGCTAGGCCTACAGGTATAGTATTATCTTTATGCTATAAAAGTATAAGCTAATATACCTTATAAGGAGCCCTAAAAAATTTAATATAAATATAATAATTAAAGTAGCTAATATCTTTATATTAATTAAAACTAATATTAAGGTATTAGGACTTTAAATTAACTCTTATTTAAAATAAAGTCTATATATTTAAAAGATAACACAAAAAATTACTTAATAAATACTTACTCTTATAATATTATTAATCTTTATATAAAGAGCTTTTCTCTTCTATATAAGGCATATTTATAATATAGTAATTAAGTTAGTAA